CCTCTTTAGCAGTCATCCCAGCAAGATCCTTCAAAGATAGGACTTGGAAGCTCATGTTGAGATTTCACCTATTCCTCCAGCCATTTGGGGAAAAATATGTGAACTAGAAGTCTTCAGCAATTATGTATTATTTTTTTTCCCTTTTTATTGGGACAGAGTTTCTCTGTGTACCCTTGGCTGTCTTTGAAATCACTCTGTAGCCCAGGCTGGCCTTGAACTCACAGAGATCCACCTGCCTCTGCCTCCAAAGTGCTGGGATTAAAGGCGTGGACCACCACCACCTGGCTTTGTTTTTGCTTGAAGAAAATATCCCTCACTTACCCCATTCTTATATCCTTATTTTGTAACTTGGCTGATAACAGGCCATGTGGTTTTGGTATACTTTTCAAAAACAATTATAACCTTGTCCCTTATTCCTAGGGCCTAAATCTACTTTGATGTAGCCCAGCTAATCAGGGAAGTGTGTCCAGGTTTCAAGAAACTTAATTTTAAAAACTGTTTTTTTTTCTTGCCAGAGTAATGTAAAATTAAAATGGGCAAGATATTTAATATTTAATGCTAAGCTTTAAAAAGAAACCTGTTATCATTGATGTGGACCTTGATACAAAGACTAGGATGATAATAAAAGAAAGTACAGATGATGCTTGGATATATATATATATATATATATATATATATATATATATATATATATTCATCCTTGACATCAATTCAAAATGCACTAAAGACTTTAATGTAACACTTGAAACATTGAAACACCTAGAGGAAAACATGAGTTAAAAAAAGCTTATGCATACAAAATGAAATAATTACCAGAGCGAGGAGGCAGCCTACCAAACAGAAAAAAAGCCTTTGCTACCCATACATTAGAGAAAGGATTAGTACCTAGAATACATATAAAGAACTACTTAAATTTAAGATAAAAATCCAATCAATACATTTGGTAATGAGCCAAACAAACAGTTCTCAAAAGAAGTGCAAATGGCAAATAAATTTTTGAAAAAAAGGTTTCAGCATCCTCAGCTATTAAAAAACTGAGAATTAAAACTCTTTTGAGATTCTACCTGACCCCAGCCAGAATAGCTACCATCAAATTATTGGTTTTTCTCCACAAACTAATGGTAAGTCCCCCTAGCTAAAGACAACACCTATGTAATTCATTGAATATGGAGAATCAAGTTGATGCATAACTAGAACCTTCACCTCTGCTGACTTGTGATCACAGCACTGGAAAGTATTGTGCATGCTATCAAAGGAGAGAGATAAATACCAATCCAGCTAAAAACTCTTTGATCTACAAAGGTGACTTCCCCTGCAGAATGTGCTGGTGCAATAGTGGCATAAAACTTGTGGGAGTAATGAACTGCTATCTGATTGGATTTAAGAACCATTCCATCAAATGACAGTGCCTGTGTGGCCAAAAATCTTAGACTAGATATGTCAGGGACCTAGAAAAAAAATCTCTCACCTTTTCTTTTAGCAATATGCTTGGGTTCAGAGAAGGAGTGAGCCAATTCCATCTCCAAAGCCAGCTTGGTATATCTGGGAATTTGGGCGTAGCTTCTCATACTACTTCCTGCTGAATAAGGGTGCTGTATCTTATGGGGACACAAAAAAAATTTTTAGGCTTATGGGGTAGTCTGTGAGGCTGTATTGTCTGAGCCAGTTGCCTTGAAATCATTCTGGATGTTGGATCATCTGGGCCCTGGTGTCATTGGAGACCTTTCAGGGGGTCTTGGCTGGTCAAACCTGATGTATCTTAATCTGGAACAAATCCATAGCCTCTTGCTTTCTGTGGAAACAAAAACAGAGCCTCCTTTCTAAAGCAACTTATCCTTAGATCTAAATTTTGAAGTCAAAATACCTTTAAAATATACATATTCTTTTAACTCAACTGCCTTTACAATCAAATGTCTCTCTACAGTTAAAAATATCAAAGACAACACAGTCCAGATTCTCTGTGTAATATCCATCTTTACTTGGCTTATTTTTTTTTATAATACCTTTACTGTTTTTATAAAGACTTTATTTTTTAAAAACTATTTATTTATATAACTGCATATAACTACATATATTTCTTTTTTTCTTTCTTTCAAGCCTATGTACACTTTTTACACACATTGTAAACTATTCCATCTAAATCTGTCATATTGTGAACCTATTGTTTTAAACTGCAGCAGCTAGTACTAAAGCAGAAGTCTTAGATTTTCAACATGGTGGAGATAATTTACTGCCAGTGCTGAGAGCTATGCTGTCCACTGACTCTGGGAGGCAGTGGTTCTATGCTTCTATTAAAGCAGTGTGTAGCCCAGAAACCTCTTTTCTTTGTACTAGCAAAGGCTAAATCCACCACGCAGCATAATGCGTGGCTTGGAATCTGTCACGTTGCATGCAGGTTAAGCCTGCACACCATGAACCTGCCATAGAGTACCTCAAGCCTGCATGTTGCGGCGTCTCGCTGCTGGCATGAGACACAACTAGGAAGCTGTTTTAGCTCCATTTTAGAATTTTTTTAAAAAGATTTCTCAGGTTTTAGGTGGAAATTCTTGCCTAATGTTCTAATGGCATTTGTAGTTGAAATTTTCCTGTGTCCACCCAGCTCCTGTGTCCTTGTGTTTCCGCAGCCACTCAGACCTAAATAAATACACACAGGCTAATATTATTTAAAACTGCTTGGCCATTACCTGAGGCCTACCACTGACTAGATATTACACTTAAACTCAGTCCATTTCTGTTAATCTAGATGTTGCCACATATTTTGTGGCTTTACCTGTGTGCCTGTTATATGCTGCTCCCTGGATGGTGGGCTGGCAGTGTCTCTCTGCACCAGTCTTCCACTTCCAAGAATTATCCTCTCTCCTTGTCCTGTCTATACTTCCTGCCTGGCTATTGGCCAATCAGCACTTTATTTATCAATCAGTCATCCACAGCATTTTACATGTGCCAGTCACCATGTTCACGTATATAATTTTATTTCACTACTTATTATAGTCCTACAAAACACTATTTAACAAAGGGTAAAACTTATATTTGGAAAGATTAAAATACTTTTCCAAGTTTGCATTATCTGGAAATGACACAACTGTGATTTCAGTCAAGGACATTAGACACAGATTCCATACTCCTTGCACTATAGTTCAAATGTTTATGTTCATATATCAAAAAACAAAGAAAGAAAATTAAAGAAAGAAAGAAGAAAATGATAAAGTTCCATAGCTCATAGCCCAAATTTTCTCTGTTGCTTTTGTTTTATAATTTTTTACCATTGAAATGTAGATAGATTGCTGGGCGGTGGTGGCGCATGCCTTTAATCCCAGCACTTAGGAGGCAGAGCCAGGCGGATCTTTGTGAGTTTGAGGCCAGCCTGGTCTGTAGAGAGAGATCCAGGAAAGGTGCAAAGCTACACAGGGAAACCCTGTCTTGAAAAAAAAAAGAAAAGAAAAAGAAAAAGAAAAAAGAAAAGTAAATAGATCATATGAGATATAGTTTGAAAAGTTGTGGCACATAGAAACTATCTACTCTAAAAAAATAAAATATATACTAAGTAACACTTTACTTTAAAGCTTACCAACCTGTGGTCTATAGGCAGCTGCTTAAAAATATGTTTCAAATTACTCCCAAGAGAAAGCACTAGAGACATGCAGGATGTGTTTGAGAGGTGTTCACCACTTAGACTCTCAGTGAAATCTGTGACTAAAGAATGCAAGCCCGGAAATCTTGCCTCACTTGCCTTCTGTAGTCTTTACTGTGTTGACTCAAGAGCATCTATAATGACCGCTTCTTGTGTTTCATGAGTCAGAGCACAGCCCTTATCCCTTCCCCTCCCTTCCCTGTCATAAATGCCTTGGAGCCTGGACTTGGATCCCAGGTTAATGGGTTTGGTCCCCACCTTCCCCCTCTAGCTTCAAGGTCCACATGTATGTCAGGCAGGTAATCCGACGTGCTGCTTCTAAACCAATCCAGCTGCTGTTGACCATTGCGTGTTTCTGAGGTAGCTGAGTCTGGTGGCTCCTCCCTTTTCTTTCCTCGAACTTCCACTTCCTTTGGCCTAGGCTGCAATTTGTAGGGCAGCTCCTCAGTAGCTGAGTAGCCTTAAAAGCTCTAGGTGTTTATGATTCAGACTTTGCCCTACCAGCTCAGTGGGACTTTCAGTCTTATGACAGTCCGCTTTCGTGGCTCCTACTCCAAGTGCTTCTGGTTCGGGGAAAGGAAACATATACAGTCCGAGTGAAGAAGACACTGTGCTCCCAGGGGAGATCTCCTCATCACAAAGTAAGGACACCAGGGTGTAGACTGCTCTCTTACCTATATCTTCCTGGGTCTGGGGAGTCTGGTGGGTAGAAATAGCCCCTCCCAACAAGACACAGGGTATTCAGCTGCATCTTCATGACTCACTTTTCACTCATTCTTTCTTTACATTTCTTTCTCAACTGCTCTTATTATGCACCTTCATAGAATCATAGATTTGTGATTTTACGGAGATAAATGGGTTCATATCTACTTAAAGGCTCTTATCATACAGACGGAAAGGGGCCCAGTGAAGCAAGGGCCTAGGTCAAATTCACTCAGCTAATTATTGCCAAAGCCCGAAGAGCTAGGACGTAGGTTCTATTTAGTCCAATGACTTTTCACTGCCTTTTCTTTGCAGAAGGGACAGAAATGATGTTTGGCTAAAAAATAAAAAAAAATCCAGACTACAGTTTAATTTTTAAGAGATCATTGTGGTATTACTATTGTCACCATCTTTATCAGCCTTTCTACTGAGTTATATCCCTTGTCTTCCTATTTCTTAACCCAGGCAGTTGGAATCTGCCTGCGGGCTTTGGCTGGCCACACTGAAGATGCATTTTGATCTCAGCCCAGCAAAGCCAACTAGCAAGCTATATAACAGCCCACCTCCTTGTAATTCCTCCGGAGATCCTCACCAGGATTTGGAAAACACCCGGATGTTGTCAAAGCACCACCCCGGGTTTTGTACCAAACCGGCGGGAACAGGACATTCCAGTAGTTTAGTTTGTGGAAAAGAGGGCACCCAGCACTGTCCCCTCCCCCTTTCATTCACCCCAGTAATCCTCGCCAGACAGGAGCCCTAGATTTAATTCATGGGAAGAGCTTTGTAACCGTGTTTACTAAGTAAACAGGGCTGGCAGGCTCAGGCTGGGGTCTGCAGTTCAGCACTGATGGGCCGCTGACATGAATTTGGAAGGAAGAAAGGGTTTCCCTAACAAAGGTAAGCTTCTTTCTCTTTTGAAACCACCTCACTTGCCTTCCTAGGCAGAATGCTTGTGCAGTTGCCTTTAGAAGAGTCCAGGGCCACTGGGAAAGAAAGTAGGTGGACTGCGAGTTGGAGGAAGTTTGGTTAGGTGCACAGGGAAGTAACAGGAGACAATAGACTGCTTTCCTTTTGTTCCAGAATCTCACTGTTTCCACTGATTCTGGGACAGTCTTGAAGTCACTGAGAATAATTCATCTTGCTGTCTAAACAGCCTGCTCATTTTCTGTCTTTCAGGTTGGGAAGTTTTATTGAGATCATGGAACTGTAAATTCCCTGACTAGGAGGTCACCACCCTTAAAAACAACTATACTAGCTTTCATATTTTTTTCAGACAGGATAGGCACAGATAGAGTCAGTAAATGGAACTTGAGTCACACTAAAATGTGAATTATTTTAAGAATCATTTAAAGAGTGCTTAGTGTTTAATGACCAAAATTTATTAAGCATGGATTCGAATTCTGGCCTTACTGGTAACTGGTTGCATGATTTCACCCCTGTGGTCTCAGTTTTCTAAGTATCTCACAACCACACACATATAAAAGTGGTTTCTAAAGGTTTTGTAGACATATAAGTATATAGTTTATTCAGCTTCTCATTACTGAGTATCTGCTATACTATTTGTATATAGTATACAAACAAACTACTTGTATATTGCCTCAGATATTCATCATTTGTATGAGTCTCAAAACAGTCCTGTGAAACAGCTGAAATAATCAGAATCCCCATTTTGAGGATGAGAAAGCAGAGGCTCACAGAAGTGAAAATAATTGGCTGAATGATAACTCATACAGGCAGGAGATGATGGAATTTGAATGAGGGTCATTAACGTCACTATTTTTTCTATCAACAGAGTGACAAAACATTAAGAAAGCAAGGAGCTAAAAGGCGAATCTTGACAGGCCAATCTTAGGAAGGCTGCTGAGAGGCTGGAGGCTCCAAATTCCTATTCAGTTTAGTGATTTTTTTAAATCTAGGGTGAGCTTTTTTAAACCTAGTCTAGTTAACTAAGACTAAAGGAAGAGAAAAAGGCATTATCACATTAAAGGAGCAGCTTGCAAATTCTAGGGAAAACCTTGATGCAAATTGCTGTGGTTGATAAGGTCTAGGCCTAGGGACCATAGTAACTGAAAGGAAGGAGAGGCTTGACTGTCTATGCAGGTTGAAACAAGATTTTGCTGTACATTAATTAAATTCCAAGTAGCCCAGAAAGCACCCTTAGCTCTTCTTTACTCTGAATGGCTCTTACTTTTTTACTTCTTAAAGAGACTTCCTCTGTGCTTTTACCCAACACTCATGCTCACCTTACTTCTCCCATTTCTTGTTTTTCTTTTTCCACACTGGTTTGGCTTTTCTCTGTAGGCCCAGGAGCAAGAAACATGCCATAGCCCTAAGGAAAAGTTTATTTGGGGATTTCATGTCTTTCATCTCATTCAGTCTTCATAAGAAACCATTGAGGGGCCCAAGGTAAAGCTTTGCACGATTTAAGGAACAAGGAGCTTAGACTGTGTGTCATATAATGAATAAACAGTGAATATGGAAGTGGATTCTCGCTCTCTCTCTTTTTATTGCTGCTTGGATACTTGCCACATTTATCATGAAATGTCCAAGTGGTTCTAAAGGAAGTTTATGGGTTCTTCCTTTCCTCTGCTCTTAAAGTGTATGATAAAAACCAAAGTAAACAACATAAATGACAACAGCAATGACAAATTCAGTCTCAAGGCAGAAGGATAGGAAGTCAGTAATTTAAAGGAAGAAAAACTAGTACTTACAAGATGCTTGATAAGTTCCAGATTCTAAATACATTATCATATTTCAACACAAAACTGTTTGTACTCACAACTAAGTTTATCTGATGCTAAGTTCTGGTTCCATATATATTGAGAGATGCACATACACACAGAGACAGAGAGACAGAGACAGCAGGTTAACCTGGAACTTACCATATAGCCCAGATTGGCTTTTGAGCTCTTGATCTTCCTGCCTCACCCTTCACCTCCATAAGTACTAGAATTATAGGTGTGTGTTACCATAACTGGCCCAAGGTCTAGTTCCCATTAAATCAAGTTTCTTCCAAGAAGAGAATGTCAGCTTGGAACGTGTACATTTTATGCCACTGTAAGAGTGCTTCTATACATTGAATGTGTTACTGATGTGTACAATGCATACATGTTTGCAATTATCCATAAAATTGTAAGCTTTGGGCTAGGAGTACTTTCCTTGCTTGTGCAGTGACTTAGATTTGATTCCCAGAACCAGACAGAAAAAACAGAGACAAACAAAACCAAAACAGGTAAAGCTTTGTGATAGTGGGTGTTTTTATGTTCAAATCTATTTCTTCAGTTTTAATAATAATAACCACTATTACTTTCTCATAACTAGCTTGTGTACATAAGCACTTATTTGTGCTTTATATAGATATAGATTGTTGTTTATGTAATCTTCACAGCTCTATGAGGCAGCGAATAGTATTAAAGATGTAGACTCTAGTGGATCCAGACTTTATTCAAGAGGTGCGAGTCCAAAGCCTCTGTGCTGCTAACAAGGAAAGCAATCCATATCTTACAGAACTATGAGAAATAAGTTTGCAAATATGAAAAAGCATATTGTAAAGTAAATATTGCTAGGTTCTATATTATCTATACTTTGGGATTTTAGTTGCCAGTTTCAAACTTTGAATGCGTATTCGTTCTATGCCAATGGTCTGTACTAAGTTTCTCCAGAAATTTCCAAGATTATCAGATGAGACTGCAGTCATGGAACTCTTACCGGGAACTGTTTTCTTTCTAGGTAAATAAGCTGAAGGCACAGCTGCCTTGATGGTAACTCCTTGAGAAGGAAGTTTGAACGAGGTCCAGATTACATTCAGACATCCATTCAACAAAGGCTACTCCTTCCAGGTTGAGGGTCCTAAGGAATGGCTAACTGTGTTTCCATGCATAGTATTGTATGTAGGTACATGTGACAGTACCTGTGTTTCATCAGTAAATGTGAGTATTGGCATCATCATGAGAGAAACGAGCCTGAGAACTTTTTCAATCCCACAGTTTTTTCATAGTTATGCACATGTGTGTTCTATTAGATTTAAAGTTTCCTCAACTTCTACAATGTAAGTACTGTATGGTTCAGCTCTGTGTTTCACTGTTTTATAGATGAGAAACTGGGGCTCATTAAGGTAAAGAGACTGAAGTCACTATTCAAACTAGTGCTAGGAGCTAGACTGGAGCGAACAGGTGGGAACACGCATGCCTAATCTCCCTTCACTTTAGCAGTAGCTGCTATGGCCTGCCTGGTACTAGGTCGTCTGTACCACGTCTGACCATAGATGCACACGCACCTGTGTTGTTCGACATCCACTCTCACGGCTTTTGTAGTCCAGTGTGGTAAACGAAGGCAATTTCTTAGGAAACAGCAAGGATACATTAGCAAGCTAGCTAGGAGAGTGAAGGAAAAGCTTGCAGAAGGAACTGTCTTCTGTGTTGTAATCACTGATATTACTAGGGTTCTTTTAGGTAAATTTTCTGATTTTATTCTTCCAAGGCTGGTAATAAATCCACTTTACATATGAATAAGCAGGATCATAGCTGTTAAATAATAATCAGGATATATAATCAATCAGTGGGACATCCAGGTTTCTCAAGAAGCCCTCCCCACCAAACAGGCCTGTCTTTACATCTAGGGCTTTCTGCTAGACATAATATGGAGATGGTGATTAATACTTACACAGTTGCTGTATGTTGAAAAGCCTGAGAGTTCATTTTAAAAAAGTCTTTAAGTTTGATTTTAATCAGAGTACCTATCTGGGCCTACCTAGGGTGAATATCTGAGTCCTTCCTATCTATATGCGAATCTGTCCATGTCTTGTAGTTTTTTGTGCTACTAGGGCTTGAATTATTTAGGTGATTCATTAATTAATTTTACAGTGTTCTTTCTCTGTATGTAGCCCAGGCTGGACTTGAACATGTGATCCTCCTGCCTCAAACTCCTGAGTGCTAAAATTAGTCATGCATCACCACTCCCCATAGAGAGTGAGTTTCTAGTTTGGGGTAATAGTCACTATTACTTATGCTTTGAGTTGAATATTTAATGAAACTGTTTAAGGCACTGAACATGGTGTTTTGTGTTTAGTTATATCTCAGTGAAACATAGTTATTATCATTATTATGATTATCTCCTTGTATGATTATCTCTCCGTTTCTAAAGTAAACATAGCCACATGCAATTGCATATTTTAGAATGAATGCAGTTTTTCTAGATATAGCTGTGGCTATGAGTATATGCATGTTTTCAGTGTGTATATGAGTGAGTGTACAAGTATGTCTGTGCCAGCATCATAAGTGCTGGAGTCATATTTCCTGGAAATGTTGACAATATGGCTGTATGTGGATGTAAATATGTGCATCTGTGCTTTTAAGTAAAATCATGTGTGCAAATGTTAATGTGTGTTTATGTTTCTGGTTTTGATCTATGTATGGTATGACTTAGTGCCTCCCTCCCAGGTTCAAGAATTCTAATCTTGCTTAAAACACTGAAATAAGAGGCTAGAAGGCTGAGTATGGCAGTGAATCAGGCTGGAACCTGTGTAATGAATTTATGTACATCATTGGGAACCAGCTGAGAAGCTAAGATGTTCAAACTACTTCCTTCACATACTTTCATTTATTTTTGTTTTGTCTTTTTACCTTTTTAAAGCCAAAATGAAATATACGCAAAATGTCTATAAATCCTCTATTGCTCAGAATATTTTCAGAAGCCAACCACCTCCATATAAATCGAGTACAGATAAAGAAATAGAACATGACTCTTCCCTTCCCAGTCACCAATCTTAGCTTCAAGGGTGAACGTTATCTTTATTTTTTATAGTGGTTGTGATGGCACTCAGGGACTAACGTACAGTGTGCAAATGTAAACAACTCTCCTTACTTCCAGTCGCGCAGATTCAGTTTCCATAATTTGCCCTTTACCTGGGAAAATCATACAGTATGTATGCTTTTGTGTTTTGTTTCTTTCCTTAGAGTTGCATCTGCCATAGTTTTGTGCATAGTCGTAGCTTGTTCATTATTACTGCCATTCTGAATTCCAATGTGTAAGTAAAATGCAATTTATTCAACCATCTTAATATTGATTGGCATTTTGGCAGTTCTCATTTTGGGTCTATGACTATTCCAGTAAATGTCTTTTGATGACTTTTCATGTGTTTCTAAATATAATTTATTGATTATGGGAAGTAGCAGCTATGAGTCATTTTTGCTTAAGGGAAAAGAGGCAAAGGAAGAATTACTGACTTGATTAAGGTACCAAGTCAGCCAGTATAGCCTAATCATGATTCTGGTGACTGGTTCCTGATTTGAGGGTCAGAGTACATTCTTTCATCCACACTGCTGAAAGAACAGAATTCAGGTTTCTCTTCTGAAGGAAGCAATACATAATTAGTGGTACAGGTGAATTTTTAACTTTGTTCTCTAACAACCTATGTATAGAGGCCACTGAATATTTGTTGGACTGAAAGGAATCTAGTGAGGTTAAAAAAAAAACAAAACCCTGGGTTAATTGGGTTTTGTTTTTTCAGGCATTTCATCTGTTTCTTGTTTCTACAGTTTTCCAGCTACATGCAAAATTTCTTTGTTTTCTTTTATATATTTTTTTCATGCCAACAGATTCCATTCCTGGGTTCTCAAAGTAGTGTGGGCCATGAAGACAGGCCATTTCCTCTGGGCTTTACTGTTCATGCAGTCCTTGTGGCTTCTGCCAACTGATGGAGCCATTCGAAACTACTACCTGGGCATCCAGGATGTGCAGTGGAACTATGCTCCCAAAGGAAGAAATGTCATCACAAACCAGTCTCTGAACAATGACATGTAGGTTTAATCTCATGTATTATTAGAGGTAGAGATAAAAGAGGATATTCTCGAGGTCAAGCAGTAGTCTTTTGAGGGTACTTTCTCAGAGTACTGTAGCAGCCAGCTTCCAATCTCTTTGGGCCACACATGCAACAACAAGTTTCCTGGAAAGTGAGTTGTTTTAGGACCCAACATCCCACACCAAGTTTGCTTTTCTGCAAAGAAGCACTTCAGCAATTTTAGATTCCTAAAGATAAGTCCATATTCCTTTGCATCTAAGATGGGATCCATAATGCCCATCTAGCAATAGCTACTTGGTTTATTTTTGTTAAATGTAATGGATGCAGCATTTGTAAGACATGTGTAGTAGGACTGTGCTCTAGTAGTTTGGTGGAAATACCCGAATTCTGGATTCGTGAAAAAGTCTTATAAGCAAGGACGTGACAGTAACAGATACTCCAAGACAAGAGCTCTAAGGGAGATGCTATACTAGACATCTACAAATACGCCATTCATTTCCCAAAAGATCCCTAGAAAGTATGAATATTATCAATACTGTGGTATGAGGATAGAACCTAGGATCTTGTACATTACAAACATGAACTCTACCACTGAGAAACATGTAAGTCTTGACTTTATAGATGATAAAACAGGCTCATGAAAGTCAAGTGACTCATCCAAATCTTATTATCAATAAATGGAGGAGCTGGGATTTGAATCTCTGTCCAATAGGTGTGTGTACTTGATTTTGTTTTTACCACTGTACCTCTCACATGATTAAACTTTCCTTTTTTTTTTGTTTGGTTTTTCGAGACAGGGTTTCTCTGTGTAGCTTTGTGCCTTTCCTGGAACTCACTTGGTAGTCCAGGCTGACCTCGAACTCACAGAGATCCGTTTGCCTCTCCCTCCTGAGTGCTGGGATTAAAGGCGTGTGCCACCACCGCCCGGTTCTTTCTTTTTTTCTTATTTCTTCATTTTTCACTCATCTGCATCCTCTGATCCTCTGTCCCTCTCCTTTCTCTTTCTTCTTTCTCTTTCTCTTTTTTGTTTACTAAGACAAGATCTTACTCATACTCTGCCACAGGCTATTCTGGAACTCACTATGCAACTTTTGCTATGTTTGAACGCATGACAATGTTCATGCTGCAACCTCCCAAACAATGGGAAGGTTTAACTTTTCTTGATGTTAGATACTGGTTGGCATTTCACCAAGAATTAAAGAAAATGGATGATTTTATTGAAGCATCTTTTGCAGTGGTGGTTCATTTTATCTCTTCAAAGCTCAAAGTTTTCCATCTTGCAGTACTAACAACTCTGTTTTTCTCTTTGTTTTTGTAGTGCTGGCATCCATCCTAGGACCTCATATACTGTAGGCAAGTGTTCTACAACTGAGATGCATGGCCAGCATAAGCTGTCTTTGACACAAACCATTCATCCAACTTTGGAGTCAGAATTCTTGTATTGAAATTGCTCTTGAAAGAGTAGCAGTTAACCACTCACCTTAATAATTTGAAGTAATAGCATTGAGTTTTTGCAATTTTCCAGGTCCTAAAAATTCCTAAAGTTTTCATTTACTTTTTTGTTTTTTTATATTTGCAAGAATCAAATCCAAGGCCTTATGCATGCTAACCATGTGTTTTAAGACCCCAGACATATAATACATTTTTTTTGTCACCATAACAACTTTGAAAGTCCGATCCTGCAAAAATCTTCACTTGGAAGATGGTGAAATCATCTACATAGAAGTTAAAGCAGCTTGCTGAATGCTCCAAAGATTTCAAAATCAGCAGCTGCTAGTTAATCCAAATGGTCTGGCTCCAAAGTCTGTGGTCAGAACCACTGTGATCTTCTGCTCTCTCTCTCTCTATAGCAGCACAATGCTAAGGGTTACATGAATGCGGAGTTACCATTTAAAAAGAGTCATTATACAGCTGGTTATCTCCTTGATACTGTACATTTGTTTGCACCATGTAAAAGTGACTCTTTGTATGCTAAAAGTTGGTCAAATTTCAGCAATTTGATATGACTCAACTTTCTACTTCACATCGTATGTTCACAAGTGCAATACAATTCCTCTTTTCTTTTGTCAGCATTCTCTAGGAAAGAAACTTCCAGTTCCAGTTGTTTGAAGATGGTAGAAAAGTTGTAATTCTGTCTTGCATTTTCTCAGAGTGGCTTCCAGCTTCCTAAAGTCTGGCAAAAACAGGATAGGGAGTAGTTACAAGAAGACTGTCTATAAGGAATACAGTGATGGAACATACACTGACGAAGTGGCCAAGCCTGCCTGGCTGGGGTTCCTAGGACCACTGATCCAGGCTGAGGTGGGGGATGTCATCCTTATCCACCTGAAGAATTTTGCAAGTCGGCCTTATACTATTCACCCTCATGGAGTTTTCTATGAGAAGGACTCAGAAGGTAAAGCAGCCTACCTTTTCTTTCTTCCATTTCTCCAAAGTATCACTTTTCCTTTATTGCCATCTGAGAAAGTTTGGATCAAGAGTTACTCCTCTCTCTGTTTTCTTGGTCTTTTGAACAGAATGCTGGTATGTGGCTGAGGATGGTTTAGAACTCATGATTCTTGTTCCTAAGCCTCCTGAGTGCTTGGATGTTATCATGCCCAGTCCAAGATAGGTATTTTTCTTATTGACTGATTTGCCACAGCAAAACTTTACTTAGAGTAAACATGGCTGTGTACCAATACATACATACACTGTGTAACTTGGGCAAGACATTGCACTTCCCTGGGCTTCAGATTCTATATGAGGAATATGAAGACACAGTCCCTTTTTTATTACAAGGAACTATTTGAATTCCATTTCTACTGAGTATTTGACTATGCTTTTGAGAGAGAAGTTCTGTGAAAGTCATGGAGTGCTGTTCTGATTCCAGAGTCTTCCAGAACATCTCTCTTTTTTTAAAGAGTATATTCATTTGATTTTATAGCATCTTCTAACATTTGAGGCACAATGGCCTAAAACAGATATTGAGTTAGTGAGGAAGTTAAAGTGGGAAGTCAGTAGCTCTAATTGGGAATGAGAACACAGAGAAAAGGAATTCTTTTGTGCTCTTTAAAGGGAGGTAAATAAATGTAGCCATCAGGTACCAATGTTCCTAAAATTAGAACTATGTTACTGCCCAGAAATCACATTACTAAGTATATATCCAAAGGAAATGATATCAGCTTGTTGAAGAGACATATACTCCCATGATTATTGTAGAGCTATTTACAATAGCCAGATTATATAATCATCCTAAATGTCCATCTACAGATGAATGGACAAAGAAAATGGTATATAGGACTGAGGATATGGAGGCTAGATTTGCAAGGTCTTGGGTCCCATCCCCACATCTGAAAAAATTTTATATATGAATATTGTATATGAGTATATGAATATGAAAATTACCCATGCATGCACACACACACATATATGAATGTTATTCACCCTTAGAGAAGAAATACATGGAGTAACCTGGAAGAACACTATGTTGAGTGAACTGAAACAGCTACAGAAAGATAAATACTGTATGATTTCATTATATTTGGAATCTAAAGTAGCTGTTATCATAGAAGTTGAGAATAAAATACCAGTCACCAGAGGATAAGAGTGGGGACAGATTACTCAAAGTTCAATGTCATAAATAGGAGGAATAAGTTTTGGTGTTCTATGGCCTGGTAGGGTAGGATGCATGTAACAATAACACTTTGCAAATCATAAGGTAGTAAATAGTACTATGGTGATATCCACCTATGATTTCAGCAGGAGGAAAGTGAATTCCAAGCTACCTTGGGATGACTGGTGAAACCTGTGTCAAACAATCAAACAACCCCTTTCACCAAACCAAAATTGTTTGAAGAGATATTTTTTTAATGTAAAGAAATAAAATTACTCAGTTAATTTTATTCACTATTTTCTGTATTTTCTCTACAATGAGAAAGTAAGCCCACTGGTCATTAAATTGACTTTAAGCTAAAATGGGGTTATTTACTCTTTGCATTTCAAAGTAAGTGCTTGAAACCAAAGACTTCCCTTACCCTCAGGCTAGGTCTCCTTCTATAATCCAGGCTAGTATTTTAACTGGAGATCCTCCATCTCCTGAGTGTTAATAGAACTGTACTGCAATGGGAGCTTGGAAGGAAGTTCTGCTTTTTTCCTTGCTTTCATACCATTTAAACTAAACATGACGTATTCTGAATATAGCTCTTCCCAAGTGATTTCTGTTTATTCCAGAACTCTTAATTATTTTTTCACTTAATTTTAATGCTTAAAAAAGTACATTATCAAGTTCACATCCCCTCCCCTAACCCCTCTACTACAATGACTTCCCTATTCTTGTACCACTATTCCCTCCTCCCATCTTCATGCACTCTTTTTCTTAAAGTGGACTCAGTATCCCACTTAGCCCTGCCAGCTTGTGCATGGGTGGAGGACCATTAACTGGAGCATGAGTAGCTGCTCTGGGGCCACATCCCAAAGAAAATGGACTCTCCTCTCCTGGCAGCCATCATCTGCCATTATCTCTTCAAACAAAAGGGAAACTTCATGATTCACTCCCCTACCTGTGCTGGGATTTTGCTTGATCTTTTTGCAGGTCCTGTGCATGCAATTCCTGCCACTATGAGTTTATGTGTGCAACTGCCCACATAAACACCCAGAAAACATCTCTCAAACCATCAAAGAAGCTTTTTTTGTAGTAGATAGCTGTTAATACAGAGACCCACAATTGATCAGTATGCAGAGAATTAGGAACTGAAGAGTTCTCAGCCCTAATTGGGATATCAATATTGTGTCCTTTCTCCCAGGGCTCAGGAATGAGTAGGGAAGAGGGTATAGAAAGATTTTAAGATCCAGAAGTAGTGCGTGACTTATATTAGCTTCTCTCTCCTGCCTGTTGATGTGAGGACTGAGGTGAGGAACACTCTAGTACTGAATCTTGGACTTGAGTATTCCACATTTTTTAAAAAATATTTTCCAACTTAATTTATTATCATTGTGTATTTATATATGATGTGTGTATTGCGGGGAGTGTGTGGATGTCACAGTACACATGCTGAGAACAACTTTGTGGAGTTTGTTTACTCCTTCTGGCTTTACATGGATTCTTGGGATTGCGCTCAGGTCGCCAGGCTTGCTCAGTAATTACCTGCTGAGTGATCTCACTGACTAATGCCTTCTTTTTGATTCTATATCTGATATAATCTTACTCACCCTGGTATCAGACATGCACATTTTTATTTTGTAGGCTCACTGTACCCAGATGGTTCTTCTGGGTACCTGAAAGCTGATGATTCTGTTCCCCCCGGAGGCAGCCATGTCTACAACTGGACTATTCCAGAAGGCCATGCACCCACTGGTGCAGACCCAGCATGCCTCACTTGGATTTACCATTCTCATGTAGATGCTCCACGAGATATTGCAACTGGTCTCATTGGACCCCTTATCACCTGTAAAAGAGGTACTTACCCAGACAACCAGCCATAAGATGTAATTTGGAACAGCTATGGGAAGGGAAGCAGTGAGATAGTTAAATCGAGATCGTATTGAGTAGAAACTGAGTGGTACCCATTGATTAGCCTGCGAAACTCTTTCCATTGTTGTGTCTATTTCATTACCTTTTAAAAATACTCACCAAATAACCCCACTACTTTTCTGTTATTTCTCATTTCACTTTTAAAATTCAAATTAGTGATGATGGCAGACAACTCACATTTGAAAAAGGTAATTGATAGTCAGATTGATTTGGATTGGGTTATTCTCAAGGAGTAGTCAGGTCTGAAGACCAAAGGATTGTAGGAATTGGCTAAGGTCTAAGCACTAAGCATTAAGGATGATGGGAGGATTATTCTAGGACCTGTGTTTTCCTCCTTTATGTCACAGATTCATCTGGCAAGCTTGAAAATGAAAAGTAGTACCAGAAACATTGTCTGTTATTGACATCCCTATAAAGTCCTCTCCCTTCTTTTTCTATTTTTTTTTATGAGAACCCCTTGTAGCCTATTATCAAGGATAATCTTTTATGCTTGCCCAGGGACCCTGGATGATAACTCCCCACCTCAGAGGAAGGATGTGGACCATAATTTCTTCCTCCTCTTCAGTGTGATAGATGAGAACCTTAGCTGGCACCTGGATGACAACATTGCTACGTACTGCTCAGACCCAGCCTCAGTGGACAAAGAAGATGAAGACTTTGAAGACAGCAACAGGATGCATGGTGAGCTAGCAGGGAGTGGCTGCATTGTGACAATGGAGACGCTTATGTAGACTTTCCACTAGGCCTAGTATTTATTGGTTCATTCATATCTGTTGTCCTTTTAATACTCACAAAGACCAAGAATAGGTGGAAAGACCATGGGTATGTGGATTCTTTTTGTCTTTGAAAATATTGAGTATGATAACATTATGGATCAAAAAATGGTACAACTCAAATCTCACCTTTGATCTCTCCCATTATGCAGGCTGTACCCTTGCCATTAAGACTATCTTTCTCATAGTGTAGAATAGACAGGATTATTGATTCTGAATCATATATGATATACTTAGTCACCTGAATGAGTTGCCCACTGAAGTAAATAATTAATATTGCCTTGGTTTTAAAAGGATGCAAGATGGCATAATTATCTATTTTGTCGAGAAAAATGACTACTTTCAAGATACCTTCCTCATATTCTACTTTTTGCTTATATCTATTTTTTAATTATGGGAGAACATGAATGTGGTTCCCTACAAATTATGCAGTCGAGTGTCTCATATTTAGGGAAATCGTAGGGGTCAGCACGTCTGGAGTTCAATGGCTAATTGGTTAATGTCTATACAGGAAATGGTTATATTGATTAAATTAGAGATAAATAAAAGTACAGAGTCCCAAGTCATGAACAGAGAAATTATTTTAGGAATAGAATTATCCTGACCTTGTTTTTGTTAGTGGAGTCAGTCATTTGCTACTTTGGGTTATAGGGATATACTCAAAGCTATAAAGGAGCTGAAATCTTAGTGGAAAGATGTAAAGGATGGATTAGGTAGTTTAAATTTTTCTTGAATTTTATAAGAATAGATTACAGTGGCCATGATAGTCAGGCAATGTAACAGTCATACTGTGGAAATTTCAGAAGGAAACTGGCCAGAAAGGAAAGAATGACTTGGAAAAAAACTCACAGAACTTCCTCAGATCACTGGATTTGGAATAGTGATTTTATTACTTAACAGATCAGTAGTTTTTACATAGGAGTAACTTCACTTCTGTATGTCTTGGTTTTCTCAATTTTTTGATTGAAACTAATGGTATTTGCCTATTTATTTTAATTATTTGTAAAATTTAAATGAAATAAGGCATATGTTCATTTGAATGCTTTCTGCTTGTTTTATCAGATGGTAAAAGGCTTTTCCCATTTGTCTGTCTTCTCCTAATTTCTGAAATTTTCTTCTGCAGCAATCAATGGGTTTGTCTTTGGGAACTTACCTGAGCTGAGCATGTGTGCACAGAAGCATGTAGCCTGGCACTTGTTTGGCATGGGCAATGAAATAGACGTCCACACAGTTTTCTTCCATGGACAGATGTTGACTACCCGTGGACACCGCACTGATGTTGCTCACATTTTTCCAGCCACCTTTGTTACTGCTGAGATGGTGCCTCAGAAATCTGGAACCTGGTTAATTAGCTGTGAAGTGAACAGCCACTTGAAAAGTAAGGTCTAATATTTTTCACTCTTGGAATATGTGAGGGAAGTGTAGTTAATGGTCAGTAGGAAGTGAGGCTTCTAGCTTGGAGCCATCTCAAGGCTTCTTAATGTAAGTAACTAGAATGAAGTCAGATTCCTTGACTCTGCCTTTAATGTGCTGGGTAAATTTAGAAGTAATATTTTGGCTTAATCTTCCTGTCTCAGTTAGGGTTTTTATTGCTGTGAAGAAACATCATGACCACAGCAAATCTTATAAAGGAAAATATTTAACTTACTGTTTAGAGGTTTAGTCCATAATCGTCATGGTGAGAAACATGGTGGCATGCAGGCAGACATGGTGCTGGAGAGGTAGCTGAGAGTTCTACATCTGTATCTACAGGAAGCGACCGTCACACTAGACCTGGATTGAGTATTTGAGACCCCCCCCCCCAAAACCCACTCCCTAGTGACACACTTCCTCCAACAAAGCCACACCTATTCCAACAAGGCCACACCTCCTAATAGTGCCACTTCTTATGGACCTATGGGGTCCATTTGTATTGAAACTACCACATTCCACTCCCTGGCCCCCCATAGTCTTATAGCTATATCATAATGCAAAATGCATTTAGTATAACTTCAAAAATCCTCGTAGTCTATTAACAGTTTTCACCCTGGGAAAGTCCAAAGTTCAAAGTCTCTTCTGAGCCTCATGACAATCTCTTAAACTATAATCCCCTATAAAATCAAAATAAAAAGCAGATCACATACTTCCAACATATAATGGCACAGGATATACATTGCCATTCCAAAAGGGAGGGAAGGGAGCAGCATAGTGAGGAAATACTGGACCAAAGCAAGCCCAAAAGCAGCTTGGCAACCTGCTGCTTTCTGGGACTAGAACAAGGACCCCTTGTTCAATTACATCTTCACCAGGTTTCTGTTTTGCCAAAACATCACAAGAATGTTCTCTCAACTACATAGTAATATTCTTCTCCTCCAGTACCTCTTGAGCCAGGCCCCCACAGTTCAAATCACCCTCAGTACCACTGTCCTCCGTGTTCCTATTAGGACAGCCCATTAAGCCCCACTTAAAGAGTTCAATGGCTTTTCTAATTCAAACTCTGCATCTTCATGTCTGATGTAGAAGTGCTCTTCAGATCTCCAACTCCTTTCAGCTTTGTTGACTGCAACACACTTCTTTCTCTTGGGCTGGTTCCACTCCCTGTTGGCAGCTGTCCTTGGCAGGTATCCCATGGCTCTGGCATCTCCAAGATCTTGAGGTCTCCAAGGCAATCCAGGCTTCACCTTCACATCTTCATGCAATGGCCTCTCTAGGCCCCCATGCAGGGACACCCCTGATACATGCCTGGCCTCAGTGGCTTTCCTTAGTCATGGAAGGAGAGTCCATAACCCCTTTCTTCTGTCCTTGACTCTAAAGCCAGAACCATGTGGTCAAAACTGCCATGTTCTTCTGCTTTCTGGGACTGGAACATGGACCCCTTGTTCAATTACATCTTCCCTAGGTTTCTGTTTTGCCAAAAATTCACAAGAACAGTCTCTCAGCCTCATACTAATATTCTTCTCCTCCAATACCTCTTGAGCCAGGCCCCCACAGTTCAAATCACCCTCAGTACCACTGTCCTCCTTGTTCCTATTAGAATAGTCCATTTAGGCCCACTTAAAGAGTTCAACTGCTTTTCTAATCCAAAGCCCCAATGTCCACATTCCTCCAAACACCCTGAGGCATACTTCCTTAAGCTCTTCATTTACAGAAGATGTGTGTTCAGACTGAGGCCTTCCTAAGGTCTTATAGTTAGTGATTCATAGTTGGATGAAACTTGGGTCTCCTGACTTGAGTCTTTATGATGTTGCTGCAACATAGATCTTTTGCAGAGGCAAGGATGAAGATGTGGTAAATGCGCCAGTGATTGCCTGGACTCAATCTTTCTACTAGCCAGACTGTTGAGTAAGGAAAAGTGGCTTATTTGGAGATAGAGGTAAAGAAATTAGAAGAGGATGGGAGGAGACAAAATATGGAAGAGTATATCCTCTGAGTAGGAGTCTTAACAGTAGAAAGGGAAAGATTTGTATTTTTTCCAGGTGGCATGCAGGCCCTCTACAAGGTCGACTCTTGCTCCATGGACGCACCTGTGGACCAACTCACAGGCAAAGTTCGTCAATACTTCATTGAGGCCCATGAGATTCAGTGGGACTATGGCCCAACACAGCGTGATGGGAGAACTGGGAAGAGTTTGAGAGAGGCAGGAAGGTAAGAAACAGAGGGTTCCTGTACCTACTCCTCCCCAAACACCTGTGATACTCCTCCTTGAAATCTCTCTTTACTTGGAGGGTCAGAATCTTGCCTAGATGGAATTGCTATTATTATTCAATTTCTGGTGGTTCTCTTGTTCGCAGTATGTAGCAAGCCTTTTGCAAGGTTACATCATATACTCAATGTTCCAAATAGAATTTGAGATCATTACTCCTGAATACGTGGCATGTTTAGAAGGGAAAGCCCAGGTGGGACCAGTTCCTCATCAATTGAAATGATGTTTCTTTATTTTTATCAATTATTTGCCTCCTTGCTTTTTTCTTTCTTGTCCTATTCTGAAGAAAACAACTGAGCTTGGGTATTTAACAAAAAGCACCCTGAGAAATAGATGGAAAAGAAGGGGCTGCTTGTGGTGAGTCCACGTCCAACCTTTGGTAGGAACTTCTCCAGTTTCCTTTCCTTTATATATGAGCCACATTTACAACAGTTAGAGCAGAAGGTTAGTTCTTTACTCAGTTGCTAGGCCTTAAGTTTCCAACCTATTGGGTCATTGGCAATGTGAGTTCTCTCACAGAGGCGGCACTTGGTAGATGACTAGGGCAAGACATGGGGACGAAACTTGGATACCATTCTTTCAGTAAGCAGTGGAATGAATATAGAGAAACCTTAAAAGTTGGCACTGGCCTTCTGGAGTGCCATCTAAAAGCCCTATCTAGGCTTACCTACTTAGTGGGTTTTTATGTTAGAGGGAAGGATTTTTTATTTTCTTTTAATAACAATGGGTCTAACTATGTTTCTCTGGCTGGCTCAAGTGATCATCCTGCTTCAGGTTCTGGACTAGGACTACATGCATCTGAGGACTGAAAGCGTACATTAATGTGCCCATCCAAAGATATTCTTGATAAATGAGAATAAAAGATGGGAATTACCTGAGGATAATTTGGATTAGAAATAAGGGGGTATTGAACAGATTGACTGGAGGGTGAAATACAGTAGCTGGCGTAGGATTCAGTCACTCTACCTGCATAGAAATCACAGGCAGGCAAGAAGTTTTCAAATGCTGGTATCTAGCATCTTTTGTTTTTTTTTTGTTTGCAGTGTTTGACAGCAGCAAGTGATAGCAGCAGGCAGATAAAAGCAGCAGAAGCATCAACCTCTTATATTGCAATCCTTATGCTGGATTTAACAGTGGGGCACTTCGTCGCCCAAGAGTATATGGATTCCTGGCTTTTGGCAATAGCTCATTTTATGTTTCTTAGTCTGGAATCTTAAGCCCTTGACTCTGAAGATTTAGAAGCTCTTTGGAACTCTGTTAGTAACCAGGGACTATGGGTTCTTTCTTCTGCCTTCTTTCAGCCTGCTCTCTCAGTCTTTCCAATTTCACTCCCTGTCTTCTTTCTGAACTGGCTCCTTTCAAACCATTTATTTACATCTCCAGCTGTCATTGTTCTCTGCAAAAATTTGGGCTCTCAATCTCTATATGCTGGGGCCATAGTGCATCTGGAGTACCTGCTACTGCTTGGGGGTCAGTGTTGTTCCGAAACTGGACATGGGGCATGGTAGGGATCATTTAGGCATAGGGTATCTCCTCTTACTGAAAGCAGAATCCCCGCTGATGTTTGGGATCCCATGTGGAATTATCAGATATTCTGCAGCTATTATGTTGGCACTTCTGGGTAGATTCAGGCCTTTGTGCACTGCCACTGTGCAGGTGTGAGGCCTCCACATATACCATTTCTTCAGCTATCAAATGGCATTTGCCAGTGCTCTGTACTGGGAAGCCTGGCCCTGGGCTCCCAAACTAGGCACTTGTTACAAGCAGGTCTGTTTAGAATTCCACCTAGAAATATGGCACTAGCTTCTGAGACTGCCTTCAAGGCAGCCAGTTCTTCTTTAGCTATCAAGCTACAATGAAAGCAGCAACAGTTTGTATTTGGAAGCTTGGGGCTCAGAAGTGCATGCTGGGCTAGTCAGCAGGAACCCAGTATCGGGGATCACAAGCAACATTTGAAGTGAATGTGGTGCTGGGCAATGCTGGGTTTGTACAGTGCCCATGAGTGGCACTGGATGGTGTTGTATTCAAGCAATGCCTGTGTAGATTCTTCAGCTGTCAATCACCGATCTGATATCAAGTTATTGTCGAAGGCAGGAATTTGTTTAACTACCAAACAACCAGGCAGTGCATGGGTTAGTCTATGGTATCAGTGTTTATCTCAAGGAATACAAACCTGTTAGTTTACACTACTACCACTGACAGCTCTTTACATTACCACTTCAGACTACAAAAAAGAAAAAAAAATAGGTAAAAAGACCACGTGAGAGAAATGTTTTCTGGAGCCAGTATTGCAATATAGGCGAGGAAGCACAGTATAGTGTCTTCTAGCTAACTTTTGGAGTAAGCCTAGGCTGCCTGATTCTATAGTTTGGGAAGGGGTATGTGTGGAACAAGTCATAGTCATTTGATTTGTCAATCATAATCATTCATTTTACAACAGTCCCAGTCAATTAGGCTGTGTTTTAGATCAGTCACAATACCGTGTACCCCCTCCCCGCCCCCATGGAAAGGATTCCCTGTTTGAGTAAGGTAGAAATCGTTTATCAAGACTTCTGATTGCAAAAAAGTCTGGCATAAACTATTTCAGACAGTCTTGGCTAGAACTGTACCTCTAGGAGCCAAGACAATCAATCAGTTGTAATCTTTGTATCTCAAGGCATCCACAGTTGGTGCTGCTACAAGTATAGTCTGGCTGCCTGTTAGACTGATACTCCTTTTTCCCGCGGCAGCTCAGGCAGCAAGGCGTTTAATAGTTGCTAATTAGGAAGTCAGATTGGCTCATTCCTAATGTTTTTGCTTGTTTATTGGAAAATGAATATCAGAAGGGATCACAGTATAAATTTATAGAACTTATTGTCAGTAATAGCAGAGACTTTATTTGATATTTTGATTTTTAATTTTTCCTTTCAGGTATATATACTATATGTTAGGCATGTCCTTCCCACCTTGTTCTTCCCTAACCTCCCTCTTGTCATTCTTTCCCTCTCCTATCAGTATCATTTATTTCTGTGAACAGAAATTCCCTTTATTTCTGATTCATCTTTTCTGTCATATGTACATGCATGTTTTTAAGTGACTATAAAATCTAGGAACCACAGAGGATAGAAAACATAATATTTGTCTTTCTGAAACTAGCTTAATTTGATTAATATGATTATCTCCAGTTGTATCCATTTATCTGCAATTAAGTGTAATTTCATTCTGTATTATAGCTATAAAAATTCCATTGTGTGCACATACTATATTATCCTTATCCATTTCTATGTTCTTGGGCACATAAGTAGGTTTCATAGCTTAGCTGTTGTGCCTAATGCTTCTGTAAACACTGATGAGCAAGTATCTCTGTGATATATTGATTTGTAGTTCTTTGTGTAAATACCTAGCCATGGTACACCTGCGTTACATGATAGATCTATTTTGAGATGATGTTCTCTCTCTCTCTCTCTCTCTCTCTCTCTCTCTCTCTCTCTCTCTCTCTCTCTCACACACACACACACACACACACACACACACACCTTCCATACTGATTTCCATAGTGGCTTGACTGGTTTACATTCCAACCTACAGTGTATAAAAGTTTCCTTGTGTCTACACCTGAGTCAACATTTACTGTTGTTTCTTGTCTTGATGATTAATATTCTATTAGAGGTAAGATGGAAACTCAGTGTAGTTTTGAATTGTATTTCTGAGATGACTGGTGAGGAAGAACATATTTTTATATGTGTTTATTGGCTGTTTGTATTCATCTTTTGAGAACTGTCTGTTCAGGGGCTGGGGAGATAGCTCAGTTGGGAATAGCGTTTGCTTTGCAAGCATGAGGACTTGAGTTTGTATCTCTAGGACCTTCATGAAAACCCGGACATAGCTACTCATGCTTATAAACGCCAACAATGGGGAGTAGAGACGGGTGGATCCCAAAAGCCATCCAGCGTAGTGAATGGGCAAGTGAGATCCTATCTCAAGGCAGTAAGGTGAGAGAGCAAGAGAGGAAGACACTGTCCCCTTCTGGACTTTTCATGTACACACATGGGCTTATGCACTTACATACATATGTGCATGTATCATATGCACATGCAACACAACACATACAAAAGAGTTTTTTTTTTTTAAAGAACTTGTCTATTCATTGTATTTGCTCTCTTATTTGATTGGGTTGCTTGACTTTTTAACATTTTGTGGGTGTTTTGGGTTTATTATATATATATTAATCCTCTGTCAAACATCATCTAACAAAGACTTTCTCCAATCATGCAGGGTTTATTTTCACTTGGTTATCTGATTCTGTTGTTGTACAAAATTTTTCTTTGTAATTGCATGTTTCCCTTTCTCAATGTCAGCCTTATATTCTAAATGACTGTAGTCCTCAGAAAGCCATTATCTATGGCTATGCAGTTTTATTATTTTCCTTTCTTTACCCTCTAGCAGTTCAGAAATTCAGGTATTATGTTAAGATCTTTGATCCATTTGGAGTTGATTTTTGTGCAGGGTGAGAAATAGAAATCTAATTTCAGTCTTCTACATGTGGACATCCAATTTTACTAGCACTATTTGTTGAAAAGTCTGTCTCTTCTCCAACATGTGTTTTTGACATCTTTGTTAAAATTCAGAGCACTGTAACTGAGTGGGTGGGCTTATATGTGAATCTTTGACTCTGTTTCATTTATCTACATGTCAGTATTTGTTACAGTACCATTCTGTTTCTGTTTTTTGTTGTTGCTGTTGTTTTTTTTTTTTTTTTACTTTTTGAGTTTATAGTGTAATTACGTTATTTCCCGTCCCCTTTCCTTCCTCTAAATCTTCCCACAAACATGTCCCTGCTCTTTCAAATTCATGCTTTTTCTTTAATTATTGTTATTACTATAGGTTTGTAATGTAACTTGGATCAGTTATAATGAAAGCCTATAGTAGTATTTTTTGAGTGTTCAGCATTGCTTTGATGATATGGGATATTTTATGCTTCCAAATGAATTTTAAGGTTTTTTTTTTCTGTTTCTGTGCAGGGTGACAAAATTTTGATGGGCATTGCATTGAATCTATAGTTTACTTCTGGTAGCATAACCATTTTCACAATATTAATTCTTCATGTTCATGAGCATATGATTTCTTTCCATCTTCTGGAGTCTGTTTAATTTCTTCCTTGAGTGTTTAAAAGTTTGCATTGTAGAGGTTGTTTGCTTCCTTGGTTACATTTATTCCAAAGTAATTTTGGAGGCAAATTTGAATGGGATAGCTTTCTTGATTTCTTTCTCAGTATGTTTACTGTTGGTGTATAGGTAGACTACTGATTTTTATGTGTTAATTTGCATATGCTGAAGCATCTCTGGAATAAAGTCAAGTTGATCATGGTAATGACATATTTGATATATTCTTGAATTTCATTTGTGAGTATTAAGAAATATGGCATCTATGCTTATCAATGAGATTGCTCTATACTATATATTTTTATTTTTTGTGTGTTCATGCCTTTATCTGGTTTTGGTATTAGAGAAATGCAGATTTTGCACACAGAATTTGATAGTTTTTCATTCTTTAGATAGCAGGGTTTTTTAAAAAACAAACAAACAAACAAACAGATTTCAAGATTGCTTAACATCTGCCTAGGGAGAGTGTTCCATATGGAGAATGGTCCGTTGTAGCTGTGCATTTGGTTTTGAATGAGTGGCTTTTGTTAAGCATACAACAACTAGGAATAAAAGAATAAAACAAACAAGCAGAAGAGAGATGGTGGAGCATAAGATCAGCCATGTATATCATCTAACAGAAAACTGCCTGGGCAGACCCTGGGAACCAAAACAGTTAGCTGGAGCCTCTGACCAGTAAAGAGGGTTCCAGGTAAAATGTCTTCTCCCTAGTGAGACTTTTAATTAGTTGTTCCTAGTTTTCATATCATGTTATATTTTTATATCATAGCTAAGCAATAGCTTTTGCTTTGGGAAGGTACTTTTATTATTTGTCTTCTAGTTATGTTCAAGGACACAACATTTTGACTCTAACAATTTACCCTTCTTCTATTCTCAAGGGCATGGTATTTTTACTCTTGTCAGGTTTGGTTCTTCTCATTTAACTTTCTCACAGGGCTGGGGAACCAGCTTGTCCCTGAACAAGTGGTCTTGGAAGATACTTTAGGACAAACAGGCCTGGGTCTGAAAGGGGAGGGACAAACCCCACCTCCAGAGCCAGTTTCTCAGTGAGCTTGAAGAACATGTGGCAGCTTACTAATAATATGTATATTATAGAGAGACAGTCCCTTCATTTGTCTAGAGAAATTTGGGGTATATGTGGGATAAAAATGATCTTGTGATGGCAGGATGTATGAGGGCATAGAGAAGTTCTTGGGGGTGTCTGATGCTGAGGAGGCTAGATTCTGCTGTTCCTTCAACCTGTCTGCCTAGGACTTGCAGATTGTTAGTGAGATTTTTTTGTTGTTGTTTTTTGTTTGTTTGTTTTTAGCATCCAGGATCTAAAGACATTCTGACTATAAAGTTAGGTGTCCAGAGGCACAAGTTCCAGTGATAATAGGATGACATTTTCAGAGACTTTATTCATGACAAGATAAGGACACCAGGGGTTCTTTGCTAGCTGTTCAGGGAGAAGCAGATAAGAAACCTTTGGATCTCCTAGGAAGAAAAGATCTAATGAGCTAGTGAATAATCACTTTTAAAATGCCAAAAAAAAAAAAACAACCCACAGACACATGACTGTGGAGCAAGTGGTCATGATCCCTAGAGAGACCAGGAAATGGACATTAATTGTTGTGGGTGTCTATTGCCTTGGGGAAGCACCAGAAAGAGTCTACCTGTGTGGGAGAGAAAGGAACCATTGTTCCAGTCAAGATGTTCTTGTACTGCTGAAGCTCTGAAATCAAATCTACTCATCATGTAAAAATGGTGGTCTCAGAAGTCTCCAAAGAGATAGAAGTTCCCAGAACCCATCCAATGCCCAGCTTCTGGAGACTGTCCAGAGAGGAGGTGCCAGTAGAGCTTAGGAAACTTCTTCTTCATAGTAGGCAAGTAAACTTGGACACAGAAGACTGTTCGTACAGGACTTTGGGAAGCCCAAAATAATCTTCAGAGCTTCCACTGGGGTGCCTCAGAAACTGGGTAGCAGAATATCATCTCATACAGCTCAGGGCTGCATATCAGCCACCCAGTGAAGCAAACAGAAAATGAGGGCATAATGAACTCTTCGAAACTAATCAGTGAGTCCGAGTTTACCATGAATATCCAATTTTGGCTAGCTGATGGTGGGATGTGCATGTGGAAATTTAACAACATCCATAGGAACAGTAACACCCAAATCTTCATTGTAAATTCCTGGACATCGATGCTGCCTTCTGCTTTGTTCTCATGACTGCCTTCTCAAAAAAGGGGGGGGGGCTTTGAAGGAAACCAACATGTCCAATGCAGTCATCATGCAGCAATGCAGCAGTTAACATAATCTCTCTGCCCACTGTCTCTCCCCACCCCCAGCCCCGCTGTGTTCCTCACAGGCCAGTAGCTATGCCTCATGAAGACCACAATCCTGTACCCTGTGTACATAAATGTCACATGCTCTCAGTAGCTCTGTGTTCTTAGATTTTGGACATTTACTTTCTCTTTTATTGTATTTCTTGGGTTTTTGTGATGATCAATGGACTCCAAAGGGGAAAAAATGAAAAGAAAAAAGATGAAGGAAAGTAAAAGAACAGATAAAGACTGTGTAACTCTAGAGGACTGAACCAGTCTCAGTATATAGAACTTAGAAGCAATAATAGTTCACCTTTCTATAAAGAATAACTCCAATTATTAAAATATACTGTAGTACATTCTTTGAAAATAAGATCTTTGTCTTTGGAAACGTTTGAGCAGAAGCTGTATACCACTTAATAGTGCTGTCACCAGAGAAGGTGTCTTTATTGTTATGAATTAATCTAGGTGGTTCATAAAGATCTAGATGTTTGTGCACTTAGTATCTATTTGATACTCCATGAATTCATATAACATTTACCCTTTTACATGTTAGTGGCCCAGATAAGTACTTCCAGAAGAGCTCTACCCGAATTGGAGGTACTTACTGGAAAGTTCGATATGAAGCCTTCCGAGATGAGACCTTCCAGGAAAGGGTACATCAAGAGGAAGAAACACATCTTGGAATACTGGGTGAGGAATTTTTAACTCTTAAAATTCATGAACTAGAGACCAACGAAGTGAGGAGGACTTATAACCTGAGCCTGGTGCTGACACAAGTGAAGATTGTATAAAAGCCTCTCCCAAGCTGAGTCCCAAGAAATGAGTGTTTGTAATTGGTGTCCCAGATCTGAGTGTGTTTAACAATCAATATGTTTTTTTTTTTTTTTGGTTTTTTTCGAGACAGGGTTTCTCTGTGTAGCTTTGCGCCTTTCCTGGAGCTCACTTGGTAGCCCAGGCTGGCCTCGAACTCACAGAGATCCGCCTGGCTCTGCCTCCCGAGTGCTGGGATTAAAGGCGTGCGCCACCAACGCCCGGCTTCAATCAATATGTTTTAAGCATAGTCAAATAGAGTTTTTCTGCAAGACTTCTGTGAGCCTTAGGTTATTTTTGTTTATGATAAATGTTCAAGATGGAAATGGAAATTATATACCATTTCTCAAACTTTCACTAATAAAGTATTTTGGTAATACCCTCTATTACCACTATGGTACCGATTCCATTCTGTAAATTACCTCTGTCAAGATGTTCTTAAGGAACTACTTAAAGACAGTAAGACCATTTTGATAGTGTAGAGCCAGAAGCATACTCCCACTTATACATAGACATGTTCATTATTATTAGGGATAAAGAACTAGGCTTGCTATATGATCTTGGGGACTATACCTAAAAGGTCTTAAGCACAGTATTGACACAATATAGGAAGGTTAGATGTGGTTTAATCACTATGAAATAGATCAATTGGTAGAAAACTTTGGAAATAGTATAATACTTCAGGGATATTTGTGTGCAGTTGATTCTGTATTGAAAAGAAACAATATATTGGTTGGACAGGGAAATGTAAGTAGAAAATATCATCCCTAGAAAAGAGAAGTATTAGTATATGTGAAGGAGTTTTAGTTGGCTGTTGTTCTGTATGTATACACAGTTGTTCAGTTATGAAAACCATGTGGAAATTGAGGTAGGAAACCAAGCTAGAAAGTCTAACTTTGGAGTAGAGTCAGTATAAACAGTCAAGATATTGTGTTGGTACCCTTGATAGTGACCCAAGTCAGGCTGAAAATGATAATGAGTAGCAAAGCACACACAAATCCAAAAGTTTTGCCTAGACTACCTATTTCCAGGCCTGTATTCTCTTTACTTATAATTTGATTAAAATTTTGGTGAGCTCAGATCTTAGATGGAACTTACTAGGAAATATGACTATGGCAGAACAGAGAATAAATTCAGGACTAATGGAATTGGATCTGACTGTAGTATAGAAGACAGAGATGACCTTAGTTTCTGGCTCTGTAATTGCTATTTGAATTTTTATAGGTCAACGCTTCTTCCCTGAAGTTATTTCATCTGTAAAATGGAGGTAATAACCCCTCCTATTATACCTTAGATTAATACATGAGAATCACAAGAGATAATGGATTTAATAGTGCTTTTTATTATTATAAATAGCATGATGCTTAAAATAGATTATTTTAAAGGGAAGCATTCTCTATCTTGTGTATATTCCGTTACATTTTCTCTCCTTACTCTTTTGTTTCCATTCTTCATCTTTGTTTTCATTCTCATGGTCTCTATTTTCCATTTTCCAGGACCAGTGATAAGAGCGGAAGTGGGTGACACCATCCAGGTGGTCTTCTACAACCGTGCCTCCAAGCCATTCAGCATGCAGCCCCATGGCGTCTTTTATGAGAAAGACTACGAGGGCACTGTGTACAATGATGGTGAGCTGGAAGGGTTTCCAACAATGCAGGTGGCTCTAGGAGAGAAATAAAGAGTTGGGAGAAAGAGCCAAGTTTGTGGTCATATGAATGAATGAATGAATGATGGAACAGCGAAGCAGAGCGCAACTCATTAATAATAGAAAACTTTTTAAAAAGTATTTTTAGAAATGATCTCTGAAAATATAGTCTTATAAAAAGTATTTTTAGAAGGCACAGGTATAGCTTAATGATAGAGTTTATATTCTGCATGGGCAAAGTCTACAGTTATATTTTCAGCAACAAAATAAAAATACACTTATGTATATGCTTATTATAAAGTGTACACATCATGAATGTTTGAAAAATGTAAATATATAAAATTGTAAAACAACCATCATTCATAGGCAAACTGTCATGTGCATTTTCACATGCCTTTTAATATCTTTCTGTAATTATATATATTTAAGAAATGAGATGATATGATTTGAACAGTTTTTCATTCTGCTAGTGTCTACATTACACTGTGTCTGCCTACAATCATAATGTAACATTTTAGTTACCAAGTAACACTCTGACTTGGATTTTCCATAGTTTGTTTACTTTAGCTTCTATTGCTCAGGCATATAACTTTTTTAGTAGTTTTAAATATCGCTAGTATTTAAATAGTAAAATATAAATGTGTATATTTTAGCTTCATTTTTTGTGGGGGATATATCACATAATAGAATCCTATAAGTGAGATTATTCTGTAATTTCTTATTTTCTCTGATGATATTTTCATATGTTCGTTCCAAGATAAACATGTAGAAAGCACTGAATACATAAATGTCAAAGTTGTAAACAAATACAAAAGAACTTTCCATAAGGCATTCAGATCTTGTTCTTTTATGAATCAATATTGTGAATAAGGGGACACAGTTATCAGGTAACAATCAAGTGCAACCTGCAAACTTCTCCTGGCCCATGATATAAAAATAACTTGAAGAAATATTCCAAATTCAGATATGAGAGCACACATGTAATACCAGCACTTTAGAGGCTGTCAGGATGTTTACAAGTTTGAAGTCATCCTGGTGCTATAAAACAAGACCCTCTCTCAAAAAAGCATAACAAGTTTGGTGAGATGGCTCATGTCTATGACCATAGCAGTTGGGAAATAGAAGAGGATTGTCAGGAAGGGTGAAGCCACCCTGGGCTACTACTCAGTTCTAGCCTAGCGTGTGCTGCCTAGTAAAATTCTGTCATAAGAAAATTTAAAAAAATGAAACAAAGCAGAAACTTTGGGCATAACTTAAGTTTTCACCTAGAGTAGTCCTTGAATGATACTGGGAAATTTCTTAGCTGTGATAATGCTGTTCTGATAGCACAGAAGAAAATCTTTATGATTTACTTTTTCTCATTTTTATTAGTTCTCTGAGAGTTTCATACAATGCATTTTGGTCATATGCACCCCTCCACCCATTACTCCCAGATCCATCCCCACTTCCCTGCCAACCCAACTTAGCATCTTAACAACAACAACAACAACAACAACAACAACAACAACACTTTGTGCTACACATATACTCTTGCATGTGTGGCCTTCACTGGAATGTCTTCAATGAATTAAGGGCTGCAGACTCTAACAAAACAGACTCTCCCTTCCCAAGCAGCCAATAGATCCTTAGCTAGGTATAGGACTTTGTATTCTCCAAGATGGGATTTTGTCTGGCTTGAGACTGCGCAGGTCTTATACATGGTCTCTCAGTTGTTGTGAGTTGCCTTGTGCAGCTACACTGCTGTGTTCAGAAAACAGTTGACTTCTAGCCATCTTCTATATCTACCTCTTAGGCTATTTCTGCTCCCTTTCTGTGATTATTTCTGAGCCTCGGATATAAATGTTCTGTTTAGGGCTGAGGAATATCCAGTCTCTTTTTCTCTATACCTTGGCCAGTTGCGAGTTCGGTGTTAATCACTATCTACTGGAAAAGGAAATTTCTCTGATGATGGTTGAGAGATGCACTAATCTCTTCATAGACAAATACCTCAGTCATTAGGAGTGAGTTACATATTATGTCAATTTAGTAGAATAATAGTACTCCCCTAGGGCCTATTACAGGATCTTGGCCCCAATAATACTTCTAGGTATGGCTTTCAACTTGTGGGGCAGACATTAAATCCAATCACAAAGTGTTTGGCTACTCCCATAACGCTAATGTGCAAGTGGTATGTCTTGCCAGGCTAGCCATTGTTGTAGCTCATAGGGTTCACAGCTAGGTAGGGTTGGTTCCTTTTCTCTTCCTCTGGCATTCTTATCACCATCTAACATTATGACAGCTAACCAGTAGGTCTGAAGTTTCCAGCTATATCAGCTTGATTTCTCCATGTCCTATGACTCAAGTGTGTGGTGGCTTCAGCAACAGAGCTTTGCTATCCAGTTGTGGAGGGTAACCAAAAGCATTGGCAAGAGCCTTTAGTATGTAGGGGTCAATTGGAATTGACTTATCAACTGCTCGAAAATAGTTAGCCCATATCTGTCATTAGACTTATTTGTTGGCCTGAGGTATCTAGTAGGGACATGCTGCACTGCTATGGAGTAACTGCATTTAAATTCTTGGTTGATGGTGCAGGAGTGTATTTTAGGAAACCGTTATAGTACTAGGTTTGTCATGTGACTTTTTCAAAATGTTTCAAGTGTTAGTTACATCTTTCTATTCTCTCCTCTGTGCTGCCGTGTCCTTTTCTTTCCCATTTAACCCTTCCTGTACCATTATTCCCCTTTAATATTACTGTATTCTCTTTCCCCTCCCTTGAAACCTGCTCACTCCCAAGGTTCCTTGCTGAATTCCTGACCTCTATGGGTATTCCAAATGAAACACACATATCCAAAGAGTCAAAGCCAACATCCACAAATGGCAGAAAACATTGTTTGTCCCTCTGGGCCTGGGTTACGTCATTCAGAAGTATTACATATCACTCTATCCATTTACATGAACATTTCATTTCTTTTTTTCTAAACAGTTGTAATATTACATTGTGTGAGTATAGCACTTTTTGTTATCCATTCATCAGTTGTTGGACATCTAGGATGTTGCCATCTTCTAGCTATTGTGAATAGAACAGTAATGAACATGGATGTGCAGGTATTTCTATGGTAGGATAGAGGGATATCCCCTTGGGAGATATGCCCAAGTATGGTATAACTGGATCATGTGGTAGATTTCTTTCTTTCTTTATTTTTGAAGAACATCTACACTGATTTCCATAGTGGCTGTACCAGTTTGCACCCCCACCAGCAATGAATAAGTGTTCCCCCTTCTCTTTTTCCTTACCAGCATGTACTGCCATTTGTTTTATTGATCTTGGTTATTCTGGTTGGGATAAGAAGAAATCTCAAGTAGTTTTAATTTGCCTTTCCCTGATGACTAAGGATATTGAACCTTTTTAAGTGCTTTTCTCAGCTATTTGGGTTTCATTGTTTGAGAACTGCTTAGTTCTGTACCCATTTTTAACTGGGCTATTTCTATTGATGATCAGATTTTCCTTTTTGTATGTATTCTCTGCACGAAACTTCTATCAGATAAATACTTGGTAAAGATCGTTTCCCATTCTGTAGGCTGAAAGTTTGCCACAATGATGGCGTCATTTGCTGTACCGAGGCTTTTCAGTTTCCTGAGGTCCTATTTATTAATTTTTGGTCTTAGTGCCTGTGCCATCGGTGTCCTGTTCACAAAGTTCTTACTTTTGCCAATGAATTCAAGGCTATTTACCACGTTCCCTTCCGTCAGATCTCTTCTTATGTTGGGGGTCCTTGATCCATTTGGAGTAGAGTTTTGTATAGGGTGAGAAATAAGAATCTAGTTTCATTCTACATATAGCTCTCTGCTTTGACTGTCACCATTTGCTAAAGATGCTGTCTTTTCTCCAGTGTTTATTGATGACCACTTTGTCAAATTCAGATGGATGCCAGAGTGTGGGCTTATCTGTAGCTCCTCAATTCTATCCCATTGAACAATGTGTCTCTTTTATTGTCAGGATCGCGCTTTTTTATTACTATAGATCTCTAACACAATTTGGAATCTGGGTTAGTGATATGTCATCTAACTGTTCTTTCCTTGTTTTGGATTGTGTTTGTGTATCTGGATTGTGTATCCTAGGCCATTTGTGTTTCTATATGAAATTTAAAATTGTTTTGCAATTTCTGTGAAGAATTGCATTGGAATTTTGATGGGAATGTCACTGAATCTGTAAATTGCTTTTGGTAAAATAATCATTTTCACGGTATTAATGCTGTCAGTCCATAAAAATGGGAGGTCTTTCCATCTTCTGGTGTCTTATTCAATGTCTTATTTCTGTGTCTTAAAGTTTGCATTGCACAAGTCTTTTAAATCCTTTGTTAGATTTAGTACAAGATATTTTACTTATTTTTTTAGGCATTTGTGAAATAAATTATTTCCCTGATTTCTTTTTTGGTATGTTTTCCCTCTATACAAAAGCTGCTGGTTTTTGTCTGCTAGTTTTCTAGTCTGCTACTTTGTTAAATGTGTTCAGGTATGGGAGATTTCTTGCAGAGTATTTAAATATTCCAGGCCATATGTATCTATAAATTCATGCATTTGTTAGTTTTTTTCCAACTTTTTCCAACTTGGTGGAATATAGATTTTTATAGTACATTCTCATGATTCTCTGAATTTCCTTGGGGTCTAATGTCTCTCTCTTCATTTGTATTTTTCTTAATTTGAACCCTCAGTTTCTTTTGGTTAATTTGACCAAAGGTTTATTAATGTTTTCAAACAACCAGTCCTTTTCTTCATTGATTTATTGTATTGAATTTTTCATTTCTATTTTGTTAATTCCTCCCTTATTTTGATAACTCTTCCTATCTAGTTTTTGGGAGGATGTTGTTTGCTCTTCTTTTTCATGGCCTTTAGTTGCATCATTAGTGCATTTATTTGAAATCCCATACTTTTTTATGTATGCATTTAGTGATAAACATCCCTCTTAGGACTCCCTTCATTGTGTCCCATAGCTTTTTGAAATGTTGTCTTTTCATTTTCCTTCCATTTTTGATAAGTTTTTTAAAGTTTATTTTTAATTGTATGTGTATGAGTGTTTTACCTGTATGTTTGCATGTACACCATGTGCATGCCTGGTACACATGGAAGCCAGAACTGGAGTAATGGGAACTGGGGCTGTGGGCACTTGTGAGCTGTCATGTGGGTTCTAGGAAGCAAACCCAGGTCCTCTGAGGAGCAGCAAGTACACATAACCTCTGAGCCATCTCTTCAAACCTTCTAGGAATTTTTAAAATTTTCTTAATGAATTGACTTTGTCCTTGACCCAATTATTATTCAGTTGTGTGTTGTTTAGTTTCCATGAGTTTTTATACTTTCTGTTATTTCTCTGGCTGTTGAAATCTACTTCTATTTTATTGTAGTCAGGTAGATTGCAGGATGAGATTTCAGTTTTCCAATATTTGCCCAGTCTTGCTTTGAGTACTAGTATGCGGTCTATTCTGGGGTACATTCCATAGGCTGCCAAGAAGAGTATATATTTATTGGTTGTAGTATTAAGGCAATTCCATGTAGTTAAAAGGGAAGTTTATTTTGTGGGGTAACTTACAAGTATAGGGATAGGTTACAGGGTCCAGAAAAGGTGTAGCACAGTCCAGTGGTATTCTTGGAAAACACTGCTTGGTCTACCTCCAGCGTCCGGGATCCAGAAACCAGGAGAGCCAGCACATCCGGATTTCGGTCTTAAGGGCTCTTTTCTTGGCGCGCTGTGTAAGCATGACAATTACCGAAGCCTCAATGGTGATAGTACTTCCAGTCAAAGCTAGAACGGCTACCCACTACATGTATTCTTTGATGTTTGAGTGAAATGATCTGTGGATTTCTGTCAGGTCCATTTGACTTTTTTCTTTTTTATGTAATTTAGTTCCAGCATATCTCTGTTCAGTTACTTCTGGATGACATATCTATTGGTGAGAGTCAGATATTGATGTCAACCACTATCACTATGCTGTGGTGAACCCATGGTTTTAGTTTTAATAGTGATTCTTTTATGAAATCAGGTACCCGTGTGTTTGGTGTGTTTATGTTTATGATTGTAATTACCCATTGGTAGCGTGTTTAAGGATCATGAAATATCCTCCATAAGTCTCTGACTAGTTTTGTCAGATATTAGAATAGCTATACCTGCTTGTTGTTCAGTTTCATTTGCTTGGAATGCAATTTTTTTAACCCCTTTACTTTAAGGAGGTATCTGTCTTTTGTGGTGAGGTGTATTTCTTGAAGGCAACAAAAAATATGAATCCTCTATTCTAATATAATCTGTTAGTCTATGTCTTTTTATTATAGAATCAAGATCAATAATCTTCAGTTAATGTTGAGTGATGTTTCTTAATTCTTGTCATTTTATTGATTTGTTATTTTCTTAGATCTCTTTTTATTACCTGTCCTGGCATTGCTTATTTGTTTCTTATGACCTCTTGGTTGTGTTTATTCTTCTCTTCAAGTTGAAATGTTTCTTCTAGTATCCTCTGAAGATCTTGCTTTCTGGTCATAAATTCCTTTAGTCTATTTTTACCATAGAAATTTTTGTTTCTTCTTTAATTTTAATAGTTTTTTATGAGTCTAATACTCTGTGTTGACAATTGTGACCTCTCAGGACTTGGAGTCATCTTTCTAGGCCTTTCTGGTTTTAAAGGATTTTGTTAAATACTAATAGACCTGCCTTTAAATGTGACTTGACTTTTCTCTCTTGAATCTTTCAATACTGTTTCTTTATCCTCTATTTTTAATGCTTTAACTATAATATGTCTATTCTTGTCTGCTTGTTGCACTTTAGGCCTTTTGTGCCTGGATGGGCATCTCTTACTCTTGGTTGGGAAGTTTTCTTCTATGATTTTACTGAAGATATTTTCTATGCCTTCACTGTGGTATTTTTCTCCTTCTTCTCTGCCCATATTTGAAGGCTATGTTTTTTTTATGGTGTCTCAAAGCTCTTATATGTTCCATTCATATGTATTAATTTTTTTGTTGACTTTTCCTAAATGATCTAATTCCTCTACTTTGTCTGCTATCCCCAAATCTCTGATTTTGGCATGATGCATTTTGTTGGTGAGGCTTTCCACTAACACTTCTAATTGGCCTTTTGAGATTTTCATTTCCAGCATCTTTTCAGTTTGGGGTTTCTTTAAAACTTTAAACTCTATTTTCATGTTTTGGATTGACTTATTTATTTCAGGAACCCCTTTGATTTTGTCTTCTTTGAGTTGTTTGCCATTGTGATAATCATTCTTTTGAATTCATTTTTCTGAAAGTATCTTCATTTATTTTCAACAGGAGATATTGCTATGGGATCTATGTTTTGGAGATAGAATGTTATTTTGCTTTTTTGTGTCTTGTTATTATGTCTGCATTAGGATTTGCACATCTGGGGTTACTTTGTTGATTGATTTTTTTTCTTTAATTTTTTTGTTCAACTCACTTTTGTTTTCGCAGAGGTTCTTACAATGTTCTAGACAGGGCTAATTCATAGTAGCATTGGAATCTTGATTTCCTCTCTTTAACCAGTATTTAGGAATACAGCCTCTATCTAGGTTTGGTTAAGGAGTCTTGAGCAAGTTTCCCTTGGCAGTGTAGATTGGTCCTGGGTTTAAAGGCCCCAAAGGGCAACTAGAGGGTCCTAGTCAGGCAGCTGGCAGGGCTCTGGGACTCTGGATCATGTGTGATAAGTTGAGGTTCTCTCCTGGGTATTGAGCTGGGATCTGGTGAACTGGACACCTCTAGCCTCTGAGGGCATCTGAATTCATGTGCCCATACATAAACACATATATGTATAACTAAAAATAATAAAAGTGGACTTACTACCAGTGCCCCTGTAGCCACCTCATATACTATGGACCCAAGTAGCTACCACTACTCTCCCTTCTTGCCTCCCTCCACTTAAGGCTGATTGCCAGGACAAGCTACCTCTCTTCAGCGTGTATGTATCCCTTTCCCTGGCATGCTACCAATGTCCTTTTGGATGTTCTTTATAGGATCTTAATGATTATTTCTTCATGATCTGTTTTTTTATTTTTATTTTTATTTATTTATTCTTTTGGTTTTTCAAGACAGGGTTTCTCTGTGTAGTTTTGTGCCTTTCCTGGAACTCGAATGTAAAATTAGTTTGTCATAGGATATGCACATTGAACTCTTTATCACCTACTTCCATTTTGTTTTCTGGACATATTTGTAGTCTGATTACTTGTAGTTGCATCAACAGTACTTGACGGTCTATTTCTTTACAATCTGCACTAAGACAATCTTTTGACTATTTTGTCCAAATGAGAGTCTAATAAGCAACATCAATGCAACTCACTGCTGTTTTGATTTGCATTTATTTGATTGCTTTATTTTAACATTATTTATACTACGTATTATACATCTTAGTTTTTTTCTATGCAGGAAGGATTTTAAGACTTTTGCATTTTGCCAATATTATTTTCAAAATGAGTTATTTCTGTCTACATTTAAACTCTCTTTATAGGTAAGGGAAAGAACCATTTTCACTGCACTGATTAAAATTGATAAGATATTTGCCAGTTTGATAGATCCAAAATTATCTAGGTACTTTCATTTATACTTCTTTGATAACTAATATGCTGGAAATTAAAATAAAAATGCAGTTCTGTTCATTGCTTGATCATGTTATTCACCCATTTAAATGATTGCAGTCTTGGGACAGGCTGCAGTTCAGTCTTGCAGGAAAAAGGCTATGCATGTGCTCTCAAGCACTGCAATATCCATTACCGGGGGTTACTGCCATCACTGTTGCCTTAACATGTCTTTGTAGTTGATCGTTCTTTTATACTCTTTGGAGCGGATGATCCTTACTCTAGCCAACGTGAATAATGGCTTCATGTTTCCCTGCAGGTACATCTCACCCTGGCCTGGTAGCCAAGCCCTTTGAGAAAGTAACATACAACTGGATGGTTCCACCTCATGCTGGCCCCACTGCTCAGGATCCTGCCTGTCTAACCTGGATGTACTTCTCTGCTGCAGACCCCATAAGAGATACAAATTCTGGCCTGGTGGGCCCTCTGCTGGTTTGCAAGGCTGGTGCCTTGGGTGCAGATGGCAAGCAGGTACTACTGGGGAGTCTGGGTGGCAAGACTGGTCGGAGAGAAATAACCTGAGTTTCTGGGTATGTGTCAAGAATGGGGCTGGATCCTAGAGGTAAGGGAATAGAGACAAAGAAAAACCAAGCAATTTTATCAGAAATTAGTAGTTGGTGACCTCCTGTTCTTATGTATATTTATTGTTTTACATGCAAACACACATCATTCTTAGCTTTTGATTCTTATTTTTTTCCATATCCCCAAATCATTATTCCCCTCCCCACCTCAGTGGCCCATAAAATTGTTCATAATCCATAAACCTGCTTTAATACTTGTTTGCCATTTTTTTTTCATGTAGCCCATCATTTTTGTGTGACTTTGGTCTAGTTACTTAGAATCTCTTTAACTTGACTTCTTCATCTGTAAAGTAAGGGTTAACAAAGGAAGTTATCTTTGACTTCTTTGAAGAGTCATATGATTAATATGCATAAAGCGCTTACTACTGTGTCTGGTATTTAGTAAGCACCCAGTAAACATTAGCTTTAAAAACAATAAATAATGTTAATGCATTTCTATTTTTTTTTAATTTTCTAATTTTCCTCCCTAGACCTTCTCTGCTTTCTTAGCTACTTTCCCCTCAATCTTCTTCCCAGGTGACTTCAGGCTATCTTTGGTCACATACTGTGTTATGTTTCCTTAATCCACACCGTGTGCTTCTTCCCTGCTTCCTTTCATACATTATTCGCCTCTAGTCTTGTTCCTTTACTCTGATTTTATCTCCTCTACAATTTTAAGTTTTCCTGAGGAAAACCTGCCTAGCAACAACTGCAGCTCTGAGCATGAAATATGGGCCTGGCTCTGAATCTGAGAGAGGAAATGAGAAAGAATCAGGAATCCTTGGGTCTACAACTACACAGTATTCAACTGCTGAAACCATTGTCATTCCTCCTTCTATTTTTTCCCACTGGGACTACAGAAAGGAATGGATAAAGAATTTTTTCTCCTCTTCACTGTGTTTGATGAGAACAAGAGCTGGTACAGCAGTGCCAATCAAGCAGCTGGTATGTTGGATATCCGACTGCTCTCAGAGGATGCTGAGGCCTTCCAGGACTCCAATCAAATGCATGGTATGGAGAATACTTTTGCCTTTGACTATAACTTTGGGGTCTCAAGGAAAATGTAACTCTAACCATACTCATAGCCAATTCCTAAAAAATGTTCATCTCACTGATAATCTTTATACAAGGACAAGCTAGGTTGAGGAAAACAGCATAAATAATAGTTCTTCTGTTTTAAAATTTATTATTATTATTATTACTATTACTATTCTTCTTCATCCCTGTCTCCGTGTGTGTGTGTGTGTGTGTGTGTGTGTGTGTGTGTGTGTGTGTAGGTATACATAAAGACTAGAAGAGAAGAGGCTTTCTGATCCCATTGAGCTGGAGGTGGTTGTAAGCCACTAGATGTGGGTGCTGGGAGCTGAACTCAGGTCCCCTGAAGAGCAGCAAGAGCTCATAGCCACTGAGCCATGTCACCATCCTACAACAACAGCTGTTATTACACTGATGTCTTGTGCCATGACCTGGAAGATAAAAACTGTGTACATGTGATGTTCTATAGGGCATGGCAGATTAAGCTGAGATGACGTTCTTTAATTAGTTTTCTTTGTAGTTCTGGAAATAGAATCCAGGTAACAGGCAAGTGCTCTGCCACTGGGCACATCTGCAGCTTCCATCCAGTCTTGTCTCCTACCCTCCCCATATCCCATACATTGTCAAAGTGTGGCTGTTTTTCTTTCCACAATCATAGCTTCTACTTACTCCTTTTTTCCCCATCATCATGCCCTTCAGTTAAAATATACATTTTTATATATTTGCCTTCAGCCTTTGGAAATTCTGCCCAGTTTCTAAGATTCTACTCAAAAGCTACCTCACCAATATTTGCACTTCTTATCACTCAAGTTCAGGCTAGTAATTCTCTTTTCTATGTATCATTGCACTTTATTATTTTTTAAATTTTTTATTCATTTTACATACCAACCACAGATTCCCCTCTCATCCCTCCTTTTGCTCCCCCTAGCCTCTTCTTCTGATCCACCCTCCATCCTCTCCTCCAAAGGGGTAAAGCCTCCCATTGGGGGACAGCAAAGCCTGGTACATTCAGTTGAGGCAGGACCAAGCCCCTCCCCACTGCATCAAGGCTGAGCAAGCTGTCCAGCCATAGGTAATGGGCTCCAGAAAGCCAGGTCATGCACCAGGGATAGATCCTAATCACACTGCCAGGGGCCCCTCAAACAGACCAGGCTACAAAGTAGTTTAGTAATTTTAAAAGCATATGCTCCATATATTATTCAACATTGTAATTATTTGTTACATGGCTCTTCACTTCTAGAGTATGATGGTTATCTCTATATTTTATTTAATTATTAGGCAATCATAAAGTAAGTGTTAATTGAATTACTAAACTATCAAATCAATGGGTACGTGGATGAAAGAATGAGGGAAAACAGTTCCAGATTGCAATGAGGGTCCAGCAGTTTTCAATGAGATGTGAATAACACCCATGAAAATAATTATAGAACAATCCAGGCAGACTTCTAAATGTGTGGAGGAATCTTTTAATTTCAAATGAGAAGAATATTAATAAAGAACAATAAATTTAGATGATTCATTGAAGAAGGGAGTACTTGAGTGGGGGCTGAAGACTGAACAGGGTTACAATCACGACATTATAGGCAGGGGAGGCAGAACTGGGGATTAGCAGCAATGTTCTCATCAGAATCCCAGGGGATTGGTTAAATAAGTCCTGGAATTTGATTCCAGTGTAGATGGGAACACAGAAGGGTTTCTCTATATTTGGGGGCAAGTACACAGCAAGAGGACATAAAAATGAATGTATTGTCTTCTGCATGCTTCTTGTTTTCCTTTCCAAGGTAGTCCATTATTATGGGAAAAGTAAGACCCTCTCATGAGTCATACCATTGTACTTTGAATTTATTGAAGTCTTAATAGACAGTCATAAAGAAACAGAAAAAATGAGATGCTTAGTATAGAAAATTCGTGGACACTCTGGAATAAGTTATATTACAGAAATTTTCCTCAAGAGGGAGAGGGGAGACAGGCAGACAGAAAGACAGAGGGAGAGAGATACATACATGCTTCATAAAGAGCAATGTTATTTAAGCTAGGACATGATGGATGAGTAGATTAGTAGATTACATAGAGACAAGAACTGAAGTCTATTCTAAGGCTGAGAGGAAAGCACGTAAAAACTCAACATATATACTGCGAATAAACTAGATTTAATACTTTGAAGATGTAGAGATGAATAGATATGCTAGGACAGTTGGGGATATGGGTGTATAAATGCTTCAGGGAGGGATATCTGGAAAGAGGCTTTTGCACAAGAGTTCTAGGTGAGCAAATATCCTTGGTATTACCAGTGAAGATAAAGAAGAGGACTTAGCTTGACAACTTAAAACTTTGTAAAACACCCTTATAGGGTGTGTGTGTGTGTGTGTGTGTGTGTGTGTGTGTGTGTGTGTGTAAAATTAGAACGTTAAGGAGAAAGAGCAATCCAAGATATTCCAAGAAAATTAGCAAGAGTAGAATGGAAGAAAATTGGAGACCAGGGGGGTAAATAGGAGAGTTTAAGGTGTGTGTGTGTGTGTGTGTGTGTGTGTGTGTGTGTGTGTGTGTGTGTGTGTGTGTCTTTGGGTATATGCATTCAGGAGTTGAAGTAGTAGAAAATAGTTCATTGTATTCAGAGTGTGGTAAAGGAGGAGAAAGAGGTGAGACCAAAAAAGCTAATTTGCGGTCTCATCCAAAAGACTTCTCTGAGTAGAACCTGACTAGCATAACAGAAAGCAGGGAGTTTAGGATGATCTAGAATTTCAAGCTATGGGAAATCATAGTACAGGGCTGATATGCTGCTGACCATGACTTGAGTAGTCTGATCTCATCTCCCAATTTTGTCTGTGTTTTTGTTTTCCAGCTATTAATGGGTTTCTGTTCTCTAACCTGCCCAGGCTGGACATGTGCAAGGGTGATATGGTGGCCTGGCACCTGCTTGGCCTGGGCACAGAGACTGACGTACATGGGGTCACGTTCGAGGGCAACACTGTACAGCTTCAGGGCATGAGGAAAGGCGCGGCCATGCTCTTTCCTCACACCTTTGTGATGGCTGTCATGCAGCCTGACAATCCTGGTAAGTACTTCATCAGGTGGAGGGCTCATAGGCTTTGTCAAGTAGGGGGTCAAGAGTGAGAAGTGATAACATGGGAGGAGGAAGTGCTGGTGAAAAGAAGGAGGTGTGTTCAGGGGGCTTGGGGGATTTTCAAAAGACTTTTATCTCGTCAATGTATTGTCCACGTTCTGAATATTTGATCTTTTCTTCATTTGCAGAGTGAGTAGAAGGTTGAGAAAGCTCTGTTCTGGAGCAAAAGGGGGGAAATTCAGGCACTGCTCAACTTCTGGGCAGTGCTGGTATGACAGAGAGGATGCTTGGCTACATAGATCTTTGGCTATAGAGAGACAGATTACAATACAATCCTTATATTCGGGAGGTCAATGGAATGCACCTGTGTTTTCAACTCTGCTATTCTGTGACACTTTCTGCAAGCTCTTCTATTTGGTGTGTGTGTGTGTGTGTGTGTGTGTGTGTGTGTGTGTATTTAATTAAATGTATTTGTAATGAAAGCAAAAGACTAGAGAAAGCTATGTTTTGTTCAACTGCATGCCATAGTTATAACTAAGATTTGAAGGGCACTTGGGCTGTCACAAGGAACAGAAGTGTAAACAGAGAAACAAAGTCATTGGATATGAGAAGGAGGGACAAGAAATGTGAAGATGTGGAATAGAGTCTCTGCTTTGCTGCTACCTACAAGCATGGCACGAACAATCTACTTCACTTGACTTCATTTGATATCAGAAATCAAACCTTTTACCAACTTGCTAAGCACTTTGTTCTTATCACTTCCCTTATCCGTACAGAATCAGTTTTCCCTTCCTCCGTCCTTCTCCCCTCCCTCCCTCCTTCTCACCTCCCTCCCTCCCTCCCTCCCTTCCTACCTCCCTTCCTTCTTCACTTCGTTTCTTCTCCACACTTCCTCTCTTCCCTCTCCCTTTATCTCAACAGTAATTCCTCTCTCCTTCCTTGATGAAGAAATTTGACTCAATGTTTTTCAGGTTTTCTCAGATTCCATTCACCTCAAGCTTTTTGTAATGCACCCACATTTTCTTCAGTCCCTAGGGTGTATTCTCCTTCCAGCCAGTAGGTGGCAAAAGCGTTTGTAAGGAAGTTTACGCATCATCGCAGTCTCTACTAAACTTCTATTTTTATTTTTTTAACTTTTATTTTAATTGTGTAAATTCTAGTTTTATTTAGAATATAATGCCTTAAAAAGAGCACTTCTTTGTAACAGTTTAAATAATTCCTTCATGTGATCTTTACAAACACAACACAACGCTATTTTCTTTAGATGTCTCATTATTTCCCATCTACCTAGAACATTTTCTTGGCCAGAGAGAGTTGTTAGCAAATTATCCACATCAGTTACTAGAGTTGAGAGAAGCAAGAGGAGCATGCACTTTCAGTGCATGGGGGTAGAAAAGCTCAGAATAAGAAGGATCATATTCTTGAGCTTTCATCCCAAAGCCAAACTCCAAATTTAATCTCCTGAAAAATCAGCTGGGATCCCCAGCACCATCTTATACTTTCCTAGGATTCATTCTAACTTTAAATGAATGAAAAAAAAATTTTTGCTGTCATATTATTGACCAAAAAGGGTAGCTGTAAAACATTCTGGCGAAACACAGTGATATGTCTTTATAGTCCTCATAACTTCGGTGCCTAAGACAAGTGGATCACTTAAGCTCAGGATTTGGGGACCAGCCTGGGCCACAGGATAAGATCCTATCTCAAAATACTATGCAAAAAACAAAACAAAACACAAAAAGTTGGTGAAAAGTCTGGAGGGAAATATAATGCTAGGTTTTCAAGGGTAAAAGCTTAAAATGCCACTATTGGTTAAGATTCATGAATTTTGTTACTAGAGAAAATAAAAGTCCTTTTTTCCTCCTTTCTTTACATGGTCATATTTTTTAAATTTCTTTGTCAAAAAATGTCAAGTCATATAATACTGGAATCGGTAAGGCTCTTTTTAAATCACTTATTTTGCTAATAGATGCAAAGAACACTTACCTGAAAGGGAAAAATGACTTGCTCAGATTAGAATTACCGACTGTAAATTTTTGGATTTTTCTCTGGTTCATCCTCCATCAAATTCTACTAATTCTCACTCCTGGGTGATATTTTGAACCTAAACTTTCCATTTGTCCCCTGTACACTTGCTCTGTCATTAAGAAGGAGAGAGACCATTGTGAATAGTTCTCCAAAATCAAAGTAATATAATGACGAATCTAGATCAGAATCTGGCTTTAGAATTCTGTGGAGACTAGTATTGACGGGCAGTAATGAATATACAGTTGTGTTTGTTCAACTTTATAGATGATTTTTGCACCTCACTGTAGCCAGCCACAGTGGCACATGTCTTGTCTTCAGTGCAAGCACCTTAGAAGGCTCAGTTAGGAAAATCAATGATCTGAGCCAGAGAATTTGACAACACCCTGAGCAATATAACAAGACTCCCTCATAAAACTCCATGTTGGAGATTCAGCATCTTATGTCTTTAATACTTACGTTTGAAAAAACAAACAAACAAGAACCAAGCAACAAAATCAGATATTGGGGAATAAGCAAAATGTTTAAAGAATCCAGATGTGGGCTTACTGGCGATTGTTGTCATCATCATTTTTTCTTTGCTCTAATATTTTTCATTTATGTATTCATTTTAGTAGGCTTATATTACCTTTAATTGAAAATACCAGTTTTGTATTTAAAAATAGCACCCTGAATAGTGTGCCTCAGCTAGTCAAACTGAAATGCTGAGAGTAGATCTTTAATACCAGGGAAGGTGTCAGATAAAAGGTTAAAGCCTGAATATATTATGTTCCTTTAAATTCATGCTAGTTATTCAATAGCATAGATAATATTTTTTTTTACCACTCAGATTCTGATTAGGGTTTCTTTCCTCTGTTTTTTTTCTTTGTCTGTGGAGCTCTTTCTTTGTTCGTTATTTCCATCTTTCCTTCTTTTTTTTCCATTTCCTTTGTGTGGTCGGTTTGAAGACATTAATAGTAAACTCTGAGTCACCAATAATTTGTCGGTGTTGCATTAAGGGGGAAAAAATCAAAGCATTTCCTCTCGGCGTCATTTAAGAACAAGCCCAGATTAGATTTCTCACCCTCCCTGTGTCTTCTGTTCTCTGTCTTTCTGTTGTATGTGTGTGAATCTGTGAGTCTGCTCCTGCCTCTGTGTCTGTCTGTCCCCAACAAAGGGCTTTGTTCTGTGTTTATTGAACAGCACAGAAAGTATCACATGGGGAAGGAATGAGGATCTTTAACAGAATTTTCAAGGAATTAAGTCACTGACTCCAGCTGACCCAGCTAGTAAGCAGTACTCTAAACAAACATTGTTTATCAAGCTGTGTTCAACATTTATTGTAGATCTTCATTTTATAATAATGCTCTCAACCTCTATTTTTGCTCTATTCAGCCAATGATTATTAGGACACATGCATTACTGTATGTCAGGGACATGAAAGAGTATATAATTTAAGATGGATTAATTTAGGTTGTAAAAGCTGATTACATGGCAAATCCAAGGCGAGTAAGGTTGATTGTTACATTGTTCTCTTAAAGACAGGCTAAATAAATAGGATAAGTACACAGTAGGCTAGAAGTCTTAAGTCAAGTCACCTCAAGGCGTATTATTAACTCTGGCTATGCTGTCTAGCAAAAGTTCCAGGCTCTTAGAATCTAAGAGATATTTTTTATCAGGTTGCATTACCATAGTCCCTCCATTTTATTTTATTAAAGAAGTAACACATCAGTGGAGGTTGTCACTGATGAAGAAGAGCTGGTTCAGGTACGGTGTACTGTAGAGGCAGCCTAAATCAGCATCACTCTGTTCTGGGTGGTCCTTTTAAAAAGTAGAAAAGGCACGCTAGGACTTCAAGAACAAGGCAGACAAACAGAGTGGTTCTTCCTGTAAAAGACAACATCTTAAGATTTAATCCTAAAAAACAATTAGAGGGGTTGAGCCAGTTAGTATAAAACATCATTTCAAGATGTTTATTTTAAAGATAGGAATTTACAGTTGCTTTAGTTTGGATGGTCTGAGTTAATCATATTTTAGCAGTTGTAGCTCTAACTGTGGCAGCTCGGACAGCTGCAATAATCATTCCAATGAATCTTGTTCAAGGGAATAATTAAGTTGTTCTGAAGCAGATCCTCCATGTCATGGGCAAGCCAGATGAACCGGAATCCAGGCATGCACGGGCTTGCTTTCGAGCTAAAGCCAGGAGATAAAGTAGCATTGTAATGAGAGTGACTTTGGGAAAGGGTGAGAATTAGAAGTGGCATGCAGCTTATATGTGGGTGAAAGTCAGGCGAGTGTCCTTCTTTTGTGACCAGGTTGTTGTCTTCTGGTTCCAGTTCGTGGTGTGACTTTCCCAGTCCTTTTGTAACCCAGAGAAAGCACAAGATGTGAACCCTCAGCCTCAAGTTATAAAGGGAATAGTACCCAAACACGGGTTAGGTCCTTGAGAGAATTCATATAAAATCATGGGTTTGGATAAAACTCCTTACTTTTTGTGACATTAATTTTTATAGGTGTCAGGGGAAAGACTGAGAAAAACAATTTTGAAAATTGACAGTGGAAGTTCCTTTGACAAGTTGCTACTGTGCCGTCAGTTCCTCCCATTTTTTATGTATTTGTGTTTTGAGTAAGAAATAAGCTTGTTCCATTATGGCTTGTCCTTGGGGTTATAGGGCATTCCTTATAACCATGAAAGACATGACCATTTCAAAGTTGACAATAAGAGATAAAATTTTAGATCATCAGAAGAACCATTGTCCATTTTGAACTCTTTTGAGATCTTTATAACAGAGAAACAGTCAGCAAATTTCTGCAGTTGATTAGTGTCTGAGCTGTAGCCAAAAAGAAATCTGTCTATGAAAATTTTACATTGTTTTTGTAAAGCTTTTGTAGCCAGTACTTACAACTTATGAAAACTCCATTGATTTAAGTAGAGGTTTAATATCAGTGAATTAAACATAGAAGTCGTCTTTCATATACTTTGAATC